TTGCCAGGTCTATCCGATATTCAGTAAAGAGTCCGTTTTTAACAAGAGAAACGAGAGCTCGGGTTTTAAATCTTTATTATTTATGTCTCTAGTAAGTAATTTTAACATAAAAACTCATCGTCATTTAAGACCAGAATTTATGTTTTAAGGTGCTGCTCTTTCAATTCATGTGTTCTCACCATCTTAAAACGGGTCGCACAAAAATAAGTTTGACTCTTTGATTAATTCTTAAAAATCGTGTCAATTTAGTGTAAGCAATTATGAATGAGTCCAAATTTTAACTGAAAACAAAATCAAAATTCGTATATGGAACATACTCCATATTTCAAAGAATTGCCTTTAATTGGGGATGCTTTTTTCTCTAATAAAATACATATTATAACACTCATTACATTAACTATCATCAATTAGTTTGTTTCGTGGTTAGAAATACAGCATCAGGCATATGAAGAAAATACATAATTAGGCACGCCAAATTCACAAAAATGAGCTAAACATAGTTTGACAGTCGATAAACTAGGTTTATCGGTTGTAAACTATAGTTTACGGACTGTAAACTATAGTTAACAACGTTAATCTATATTTTACATCCGTAAACCATAGTTAACGCGATAATCTATGTTTCACAACCGTAAACTATACTTAACACTGAAAACAATCATTTGCGATTGCAAAACATAGATTATCTGATAAATACAGTTTCACGATTTGTAAACTATAGTTTACAAACCGTTAACTATAGTTAACGATCTGATAAATATAGTTTCACGATTTGTGAAACTATGATTAACAACTCTTAACTATAGTTTACGATTGTAAACTATAGTTTACAAACGTGAATCTATGTTTATCAACAAAATCTATTGTTAACGCTTATTACAGACAGATAAACTTAGATTATCATTCGTTAACTATAGTTAACAACCGTTAAATATAGTTTTACAAATGAAAACTATACTTAACGAATCGTTAACTATAGTTTACGGTTTGTAAACTATAGTTTACAGTCGATAAACCTAGTTTATCAAATGTGAAACTAGGTTTATCTCATTTTTGTGAATTTGGCGTGCCATAACATAATAACCATTCGTAATTTCTTGATATCGGACTATTTTAAGTCATCAAGTTCATCACATTGACTGGGTCAGGATTAATTTCTGCATTAGTATTTATATATATAAAAAAAAATAATGACACTGATAATCCTTCTATTTCAAATAATGTTTATTCACCTTGCTTTGACATATTATACGGATGTTATTTAACGGAAGCTTAATCTTTGTACAACAACATGCTAATAGAATTTTATCTTAATTTTGTAAATGCAAAGAAAACATTCTTTGTACATGTAGTAGTTACCCTATATAATACTGTTGGTTATCTGCAGATACCCGATGGACGTGGTCATAATGACAACTCGGGAGCTACGCCCCCTCGTGTCATTATGACCACGCCCATCGGGTATCTTCACATAATCAACAATATTATATAGGGTAAATGACTTGTACCATAGTTTTCAAAAATCATTCATATGTAGTTAAGTCAGCTTAGGAATTAGTCGGATTGGTTCGTGTGATTGAAAAATTAAGTATTTGGTTTCAATGATACAAATGGATTTTATATGATTAAAATGACGCTCCCTCGTGTCCTTATGACCACTTCAATTAATCCCTGTTGAGATTCTGCTAGGCTAGATATTTGGACTGACGCCGTCGCAGAATCCCTGGACGACTACTAATAATTCATGTATGGAAATTAAGTCCCAACTTCGGTCGACTATATAGCAAGAATTATTCACCTTGACCACACTGCCGTTCGCTTCATTTAAGTCATTTAGTTGTTTATTTGACTCTCTGTCACTATTATGTCTACATAGCTTACCGTTTAGGCATGTAAATCCCAACATAAAAATATTCACTGAAATCTCAGTTCAAAATATGGCTCCCGTGACGAAATTGTTTACCTATAGTCTGTTTTTACCCTATGTGATGTTCAATAGCCATATTATACTTTGTTCAGAATTACATAGGGTAAAAACAGACTATAGGAACTCTTTTATTCGAGGAGGTAAAGAATTACTTAATTGAAGCGAACGGCAGTGTGGTCAAGGTGAATAATTCTTGCTATAGTCGACCGAAGTTGGGACTTAATTTCCATACATGAATTATTAGTAGTCGTCCAGGGATTCTGCGACGGCGTCAGTCCAAATATCTAGCCTAGCAGAATCTCAACAGGGATTACACTTCAATGAATTATAGGGTAAGTACCTTGTATACTATACATGAATACTTTTAAAATATTGATTGTATTTTGTTTAAAGTTCTTCTCGAGAATTTTTACATCTGCGACGCGGAACCTTAGTTTATACAACCTCATCTGAAGGACCGGTCTCCACGTTCCACAGTGGGATTCCACTCCTTACTTTGCAACCCTAGGGCAGGCGCTTTAACCACTGGGCCACGTGGGCGAAATAAAAATCAGATATATCTAAGTCCGTTTAAAAAAGTTTGCTTGATTTATGTAATTGAAAAATTAACAAGTTTGGTTCCAATGAGATTACTGTGTTGATCAATCTGATTAAAATCAGATCCTCGACCCACTCCTTTAATTTTAATGGTCGCCTCGTGTAGCGACCATAAAAAATAAGGAGCGGATCGAGGATCTCGTTTAAATCAGATTGTTATCTTGATTTGATATGATTTTTCTTCTCTCTAAATTTCAAATGTCGAAATCAAATAATTTAAATCTATGATAAGCTTAGTTAATTTTTTGTTAACCCGATACATACTTTGTCGTGCACAGTTGTAGTACGTTGATTGAAATGTTTATTGTATGTACCGTGTTTCCTTTGTTGGTTTTGAAAAGAACGATATTGGAATCTACTAAGCTAACTTCACCCTGGTCATGACACTATTAAGAAAAAAAAATAAAAACTCAGGCGATTTCTGAAGTGTTTTCCCCATATTTTAATGAAAGACAAAGTATTAATGCCCGTTTTTTATTGTTAATTATTACACATATAATGCTGTCTACAATAATTTATTGATAACTTTTACTCTTTTTAATCACCTGAATTTGGTACAACAAGCCGAGATGATTGTTTCATTTTGTACATGTGCATGATTTTATATACTTCTTTTTGTCCTGACTTGATGGGCGGAGTTGTAGAAAAGTGTGGGTTATGTATAAAAAACCCATACTTTTAACTAAAGAAATCACACCTAACTATGGTACAAGCAAACAGAGCTTATATATCTGTACAGCAACATGCAAATAGAATTTTATCTTCGTACATGCAAATAGATCTTAAACTTTGTACAACAACATGCAAATAGAAAATAATTTCTGTACAGCAACATGAAAATAGAACTTAATCTTTGTACAGCAACATGCAAATAGAAAATAATCTCTCTACAACGACATGCAAATAAAACTTAATCTTTGTACAACAAAATGGAAATAGAACTTAATCTTTGTACAGCAACATGCAAATAGAAAATAATCTCTCTACAACAACATGCAAATAGAACCTAATCTTTGTACAGATGCAAATAAAACTTAATCTTTGTACAACAAGATGCAAATAAAACTTAATCTTTGTACAACAAGATGCAAATAAAACTTAATCTTTGTACAAAAAAATGAAAATAAAACTTAATCTTTGTACAACAAAGTGGAAATAGAACTTATTCTTTGTACAGCAACATGAAAATAGATCTTAATCTTTGTCCAACAACATGCAAATAAAACTTAATCTTTGTACAAAAAAATGAAAATAGAACTTAATCTTTCTACAACAAAGTGGAAATAGAACTTATAATCTCTGTACAACAACATGAAAATATTGTACTGAGTATGAGGTTAGGACAAGACAAGAGTCATAGGAAGAAGACGTTTATTCAAAGAAAAATCCAATGAATTTATGAAATACAGTCTGAACTCTGAAAAGAAAAAGCATTATTTCACATAATTTTCCTCTATTTCTTCTTTGCAGCTTGTAGATATATTTCTTCTTTAATCACTTTAAATGTTTTGAAGGAAAATATTGTTATTTCAAGCATGTCTACACTTCATAGACTCTTTAAAGGATGTGAAAAATATTCTTGCATGTTACTCTAAGCAAATAGAAATGAGCGGAAATCATGCAATAATGTTTAAAATTCTTGACAAGAACAATTTCCAAGTTACTCTAAAAAGAAAAGCGTGCTTCACCTGATAAGACCTAGTATCTCAGGGGAAAGAAATGGCAGAAAATCTGTATTTAAGTGATACATCATATTGGTACCCACAAACCAAGCTCATCTCACGTTTACGTTAATCAGCTGTTTAGTTTCCTTTTGATCATGATATAAACAAAGACTCATGTCAAATTATTATTTGCACTACATACAACATGTACAACATGCAATTTCAATTCTTTGTTGATTTATCGATTGAATTCATGAATTTCAGATCACCATGTCTGGTTTGGTGAAGATGTACATTGACCTCATGGAAAAGACTGGTGGATTTTAATAGTTTTATTTATTAGCATCCAACGTTTTAATTTACATAACAAGGGTAACGTAAGTGGAAAGACAAAGAAAATATTAGATACTTTTTATGACATGTCAACCCTTTTTTCCCATGGATACCTCTAATTGAATTTTTTTCCATTACCCACTTTTATGATGTCACAATGCAGTTTGCCATTGAATGGTTGACAGACAATTTTGTTTACAAAAGGTCCAATCTAATTAAAATTAAATCTTTGATCCGCTTCAGTTTGATCGCTACACTTTGTGTAGCGATGAAACTGGAGCGGATCAAAGATCTAATTTTAATTAGATTGCAAAAGGGCATTTGACATGGAACACTCCAATGCAGAATGTTTCCCAGCTGAATACCCTTAAATGTATTGTAACCTCAGCGTTCAATGAAATGGCATGATATTGAATTCTTCCACATTTAGGAGTTATTCATTATAGGCTTTTTATTAGCTTTATAATAGTAAATAAAATACTGACTAAAGAAAAAATGAAACCAGAAGAAATAATCTGGTGATCTCCTTCAGATGTCTTTCATTTAAGTAATTGAGGGATTCCATTGACAAATTTCCTGTATTCTCATTCCTGTAGCTGTTTGTATTTTGTTGAATGGTTCTTGTTTGAGAGATTGTTGGTATGAGTATAAAGCAGCCTGGAGGTTCCCTGTCACCTGTTGACAGATCCCTAGAATCTGCCACGATATGTCTCTGTTTATTGTAGGTATAAGCTGTCTCTGTTCAAAGTCAATTAGGGTCTGTAGATTATCTAGAGCTGTCTGTGCTCTCATTGTGTTTTCTTGTCTGTAGCACAAAATCTCTAGCATGTATAACAGTATATAGGGTGGGATATATAATGTACGGCAAGTATTCTGTAGAGCAGACTGTTGTTCAGGTATAAGTTCAATGATGTAATGGATTCTAATGTCAAGTCTGATATCCGATGCTAAAGCCTGTCTCATTTTTGCAGACCAGGACTGTCCCCCTACAGCCTCAGTATACATCTCTGTATTCAAATAATCGTGATACATCACATAAGGCTGTGCTAATTTGACCTTGGTAATCTCTATAATAGATAAAGCTTCCTTGTATCTAAGCGTCTTGTAATAATACATGGCTATGTACAGCATGTCAGTAATACAACCAAACTTGGCTGCTAATTTCAGCATGTAACAGGAGATTTTGTCAGCTCTATACCTCAGTTTGTTTTGAAGTGTGTAAGTTCCCATATGTAATATAAAAGCAGTACTCTGAAGGACGAAAGCAGTAATGTTCTGTAGCATAACGACTTGATACTGCGTCAAGATTGGAGATTCTATCATCTGTTCTATTGTTTGTAGATATCTGAATCTTATGCAGCTTTGTATGTCCAATTTCTGTATTAAGTAATAACGTAGTGTTTCACCAAATAGCAATCTATCAAAATCAGCCTCAGAAATCAGAGTATAATCTTCTATACCAATAGAGTTTTCTGGGTTTTGGAGGAAGTCTATAATACAAGACCTAATGGAGAGACTGTATAGACTGTGTAGCAGAAATTCGAATCCCCTCTCATACATCCCGTACAGTCTTGAAAATAATTGGTGTTGTTTGACGCCATGAATTTTACTTAGAAACATGTTGTTGCCTGGAATGAAAAAGTTAGGACAGACCCCCTCATACACCCATTTGAGGATGAGTTTAAAACAGACCCAGAAACACTCCAGGAGATTTTGCGGACACCAGTGAGGTATTGTATTTTGTTGAATCACCCAGAAAACTGCTGTCTTCATGTGATAGGAACACAGTAATTTATCTTCATCATCCAGTCCATTGTTCATTATTTCTGTTAAAAACAATTTAAGTAAGCCGTAAGTTAAGAATTGACAGTGGTTCATTACATACACAAGTTTTTGTTCAGCCAAAGAGAAAGATATTCGCCATTCATGATCTTCATGTCTTCCTAGCTTATGTCCAATTGCTACAAAGTGACATCCATTTTTCACTATATCATCAGCAACATGAGGCTGTGGCCATGAGTGACATCTGTCTATCCATGAGGAGGCAGATGGAGGCCAAAAGTCACAAACAAAAGAGAGGGCGTTATCAAATTCTTGTGCTCCAATTCTTCTACTGGCACAGGGTCCATGTGGAGTGGAGTCAAGTGATGCAGAACACATGATCTGTCTGTATTTAGAACTAGATACATAATATCTGCTATTCATTCTTACACAAGATCCCCGGATTTCTCTGTCCATGCTAGGTGACAGTAAATATAACAAAGTAAATCCTGGTGGACTATCAGAACAGTCACAGAGGATCAGTGTTTGTCTTTGTGTGTTGTAATACTGAGTCTGAGATAATTTCCAGATCACACGGTAATTATTTGGCCAGATCATATAGTCTACATCTGATCCTTCCAGTCTAAATCCTTCTCTGTGACTTCCACTCAACATCCCACTCCACTCATCACTTGTTGTCACTTGATTTCCCACCATCTCCTTGATGTCCACCATATCTCTCCTCATGGTCACCAGTCGTGAGGTCCCCACTATATGACACAGTCCCACAAACACTGACTCGGATATGTGTTCTATGGCTGTAGTACTGAGAACGATTGAAGTGGAATTGATATTCTTAAGCTTGTTTCATTAATGTTTCACTTTTGTGAATAATATAATTATTACCATTGATAAGTTTATTTACTTATGTTTTTATTTTTAAAAAATTCGATTCTAGACTATGTTATTTTTTTATTTTGATATTTTTTTTACATTTATGAATCATAATATAAATAATAAATGTACCCGGTAATTGTCTTATTTATTTATTATTTTGTATCAGATGTTTTTAAACGATAGTGTAAAAACTTAAAATTATATTTTTTCTGTCAGTAGAATGCACTGATTTAGATGATCTAAACATTGTTAGAGTTTAAAACTTACATTTGTGGGTTTCTAATGGAGTCCATTTTGATATGGAAATTTTCAGATGCTATAAATATAGTATAGAAAAAATCCAGACATTTACTTTCCTTTCGTAGTACTGAAGTACTGATATTACCTGTGCCTTTTTATGATAACTATCTTGAATCGGTAATATTATAGATAAATGTATAATGTAAAATTAGACTAGACTTTACTGATTAAATATGCTGTGTCAAAGTGGATTTTCAGAATGGAGTAATTTTAGAATGTATGTAAATAAAACTTGTACATCTATGATGCTTCACACATTGTTTTTTTTTTTTTTTTAATGTTTTACTTAACTGTAGTTGCACAGAAATGGGGGCTTTATTTTCAAATTTTCCCAAAAAACATATATGCTTAAAATTAAATCAAACAAGTTTCTTCAAAGTACCTTTGTACCTGATATGAACTTTTATTATATAAAAAAAATTATCATCAAGTAAAAAGTATTACAATGATAGGTTTGAGATGAAATGGAACCCCTTATTAGTGATATAATTACTATACAATTAATAATGAAACATTTTATATTTTTCACTGATAATAATCTCCTTCAACATACATAACTAAACAGAGATAATACACAAACAACTACCCTTGACAATTATCAGCTACTACCAGATTATCAAAGTTTATAAATATATATTAATGTGATATACACACATGAAGCATACAATATTAACAATTTCATAAAATGACAAATAATTATACAAAGGAAATAAAATTCGCTTGATGACAACAATACTAAAAGTAGATCGGTGGTCAAAATGAATAAAAATATTGTATACAAATATAAACAGAATACAGACTCTCATTATCACAGACATTTTGATTATCACAGGAAGATTTTGATATATACTATTACTCATGAAGTGAAAAAAAATTAATTTAATAGTGAATAATTATAGAAAGGTGATGTCTCTGGAAGGATGAAACTCTGTTGTAACAGACATGACAGAAATATCATTTGGCACTAGAGTGTTTGCTAAGTATTGTGACATAGAACAAAGGATTGCATAGTGAAGTGCATACATAGAACCAGAGTATAATATGCTATATATCATTCTTCTTTGTATCAACTTTTGTCCTCAGTGGCTTTAATCTGGTCCTCACTTTCAGTTTTATTTGTGGCCTCACTTTCAGTTTTGTTAGTGGCCTCACTTTCAGTTTTCTTTGTGTCCTCACGTTCAGTTTTATGTTTGTCCTCACTCTCTATTTCATGGTCTACATTGATGTCCTCATTAACTTCTCCCTGGTCCTCATTTTTGGCTTTACTTGTGTCCTCATTTCTTTTATCATTGTCTACATCATCCTCATTGATTTTATTCTGAATTCCACTTTCTGTTTTGCCCTCGCTTTCATTTTTATTCAAATCTACATAGTGGTCCTCAGGGACACTATTCTTATTTTCACTTTCTGTATTGTCTTCAATTCCAGATTTATTGTCCTCAATATTCTGGTCCTCAGTCACGTCCTCACCCTGTCTACTCTCTGTAGTGGTATCCTTTATCACCTCTTCTTTGTTTGTATCAGTCACTTCATCCTCTTTTATTCCCCCACCCTCTGTACTCCTCAGGTCCTCTTTAATCTCCTCATCCCTCCCCTGTTCCCCTCCTTCTCCCTTGGATTCCTCCCCTCCATCCACTTTGGAGTCCTCCCCATCAACAGTATTCAGGTTCTGTTTCTGTAAGTTAGAGTTTTCCTTCTCCATCCTGTCCATGTAAAGCTCGACCTCCACAATACCATAGTCCTCTTCATCCTGTAACAAGCTGTGAATGGAAAGATTTCAATGAGTCGTTATCAATAAACGTATTGACTCTCTATCATTATACAAGGGATTTTTCTATACAGGTCTCTTTTTCTCCTGTGTACCCACTGGGTATCTTTACCTGTTACATGTGAAGATATATTTGTGTTTGGCATCAACTCCCTCTTTTACAGACACTTTCTCAAGGAACCACGCCCCCTCCATTCCCTTCCCATCATGCCCTATTATAATGTTTTCCAGGCGTCCTAGATCAACAGCTTCAACAATGAATGTGTCCACCTGAAAAAAAGATAATTTAAAGTTGTTAAGTATTTATATTTCCATTTCTGATTTTTTTTCTATGTGATAGCTCATTGAAAGTTAGCAGAGTTGATTTTTTGATAATTCTACCATACTTATCCCATGTTTCCAACAATGGTTGATGCCCTGGCATACTATACTAGCTAGACAGTGATTTCTTAAGTGATTCTCCAGAACTAATTGTAAAAGTTGTTAAATGTTTGTAATTCTTGAGAACTCTCATAATATGGTCTGCAATGTAAACAAAAAACTCTAACTTTTCCCGTCCTGAATTTCTTGTTTTGTTCTTTGTTGTTGATCAGGTAGCGCCTGCCTGTGTCACCCAGAGTCCCGAATAGCGTGATGTGAACTGTGGCATCTGTTCCAGAATTCTCCTCTGTTCCTGTCTCCACGGCAACCACATAATGGCGAACTGAAGAAGATGAAGCTGAATCATTTAGCAAGAAGAACAGACATGCAGTGCTGTTGTCTTGTGTTTTCTTTCATAAATTTATCATTCAATTTTTATTGAAATATGGATTATCTTGTCTGATATTTGTAAATTAAATAAATGTTAACATTTAATAACATTCAAAATTTGGAATAAGGGACAGAGTGGGAATTAAGGTTAAGGAAACAAGGGACACAACTTTATTGTGAATCATTAAAATAGTAATGGTGAAAACATAGATAAAACCTAGTGGTTGATGAATTAGATTCTTAATGAAATGTCAGTTTACTGTAGAATTTTGTACCTTCTGTGAATAATAATTGAAACTTAACTTCCCAAAGCAAATTAATCTTAATTGTTACTAATAATCTTAATATTTTTATTTTTATCCTATTACATATGAAGAGAAATATTGACTTATGTAACAATAAAAATAGTAACAAAAATAGATAACAGAACTGCCAACACCACCTAATTCTACAACAATGAGTAGAAAGGAAAGGGAGAAATTCTAATTATTAATTAACAGTGACTTAATTATTAATTAAAATAAATAATTTAATATTAATGACTTTCTTATGTTTTCTTACCAAATCCTGAAACAAACATTGAAAGAAAAAAATCATCAAAGATTCTGATTGGCAGTTATTCAAAGTTTGGCAGGGCCCAGTAAGACTCTTTGTGTTCATTGATCACTATAGGCCTGACCAGAAATCGACATTCTACATACCTGGCCAGAAGTCACGGGAGTCATTCTCTGCCGGCACCTCGACTGCGATGTCACCGTATTCACCGGAGAAGGACAGATATTTACCGATGTGGAACTCGTATCTCTCATCAGACTTTAGGTTGTGCAGGATAACCTAAAAATAAAAAAAACAAACATGAACAAACTCTTAATTAATATCTTAAAAAAGTTTATTGCACCCAATTTATGTTCAATGAAAGTGGAAGATAAATATCTAATAGGCAGTACCTTGTCCAGACCCCATCCAGACTGTGTGTGCGGATTATCGTGCTCAATCCGGATTTTACGGATTCCTCCGAGTTCTTCTGTGTCAAAATTGACCTACAAAAAGTAGAAGTGTTAATCTCAGTGGAATACCCTTGTCAAATAATGGAGGACTTCAATCAAACATTAAGCAAAAATTACCAAGTGTTAATTCTAGACTTACTAAGAATTCATCGGTTTGTCCTGGCTGGAAATACCCCTTGTTTGGTTCCCCTAGAGTGAGGGGACCAGAATTCCCCGCATCTCCATACACGGTCAAGGTCACTTGGTCATTGGTTCCGCAGTCTGGGGCTGCACTAGTTGTCACGTAAACTTTCACAGTGCCCTCTGGTGAAGAAATAGGGCATTATCAAATTAGGTGATGCAATAAAAATGATACTTAGCTATTTAGACCTTCAACAATCTATATGTACCAAATTCAGTACACGTACTGTTAATGACCATGTTATATGTGACCAGGCTCTAGGGCCATAAAACTTGGACAAGCTCAGTCTCACTTTTTCACTATATATTCCTGTGGTAAAGGTGAGACTTAAGGTGACCAAAGGTGAGCTCAGGTAAGTTTTATGGCCCCAGGCCAGGTTATAAGTTTACCCTGTGGTTGAGGTGTGGGTGGTTTGTTCTCTTCCACTGCTTTCTCCGGTTCAGCTTTCTGTTGATCTGTCTGTTCAGCTGTAACTTCCACCTCGTCTGGTTTATCTTCCACCATTTCTGGTTTACTTTCCAGGTCCTCTGGTTTATCTGCGTCTGTCTTCTCAGGAATCTCTGATTTTGGTTCCTCATCCTCTGGTGTGTCTGACTTTTTCACTTCTTCATCAGCTGTGGGTTGGTCTGGTTCTTCTTCACTTGGTTTGGGAGACACCGGCTTTTCATCCCCAGCTCCTGGTGAGGCTGTCTTCTCTTGTTCTGATGAAGCAGGTTTTGGAGAATCTACTTTATCAGACACATCTTCAGAAGCTACGACCAGGGGTGGGGAGGGAGATTTCAGTGGAAGTGGAGAGGGACTTTTTGTCTTCTGTTTTGGTGGTGGGGAGGGAGTTTTGGCTTTCTCCTGTGGTGTTGGCTCAGGACTTTTTGACTTCTCCCTGGGGACTGGTGTGGGAGTTTTCGTTTTCTGTCTTGGAGTAGGTGTTGGGGTCTTGGTCTTCTCTCTGGGTGCTGGTGTCACCGATTTCTGCCTCGCTACTGGGGAGGGACTTTTAACTTGTAGTGTGGGGGGCATGTCATCTTCAAACACCACTTCCTCAGACAATAGCAGGGTCCTCTCTATCTTAGCATCTTCCTCTCCCTCATCCAACCAACTGTACAAATAAACAGTGCATTTACATTGAATGAAGATAAAGGTATAACCTAAATAAACTCATTGAATTAACTGTACAAATACACAACAATTTCCTATAAATTTAAATATAGGTAAAACCTAATGGACTTATACAACACACAGATTACATCCTCAAGCCTGAAAGGACATTATACATATATATCTTTTTGTGGGGGACCTGGAGTGTTATGTCACCCGATGCCGAACTTTCATAGGACAATTTACATCTCCAAGAATGTTATAACATTTTTAAAATTAAAGGAAAATTTAGATTTATTCAAAATCATTAAAATGTACACAAATAATCCAAAAATGCTTTCTATATATATGTTGTTTACTTTTGCTTAGCAACCGAGTTAACCATGAAATTAAATCCCCATAAATCAGTGAATTAAACACTGCTCACCCACGAGCCCAAGGACCCCCTGTTTCCCCCATTTTTCAAATAGAAACTTTTACATTTGTGATATAATCAAAAATGTTATATATCTTTTTGTTGGTACCAATGTTCATGAATTTTATTGAACAAACATCCTCAAGAAAGATATATTTTTCAGTGTCTTGCTTTATTGAATCCTTTGTATAAATTTTTATTATATAATATCACCATCAGAATCATAAATCAGTGAATTAAACATTAGTAAAAATTCCATCACAACCACAAATTTCAATGGTTTCAGAGTAATCAAATAAAACCTTATTGAGCTTCAAATTGTCTTGACTTACTGATTGTAACATAACAAAAGAATCCATCACAACCACCTTTTTTTTTTTTAATTTTTTTTTTAAAGAAAGTTCTCATGTATATTTCTCAATAAATGGAAAGTTTGAATCAAAGGAAGAATCTGTAGAGTCATACAAACCTTCTCCTAGACTATCATGTCCAATGACCACCTTCTGTAGGGTTCCCAGGTCTACAGCCTCCACTTCAAACTGGTCCACCTACAGGGGACACAGAATGTAAACAAATAATTCTATATATACAGCATGCAAAATATACACTTTAATACCACCACAATCTTTGATTACCATTAAAAACAATGTACACACATCATTCTCATTCAGACACTCTTGCTGGGGGGATATCTGTACAGAAACACTCTAGATTGTACTGACCTGGTCCTGTGTGAAGCGGTCCTTGTTTGTCAGGGAATGTTTCAGAAGTCGTTTTAGAACACTGGTCCTGTGTGAAGATCAGGGAATGTACTGACCTGGTCCTGTGTGAAGCGGTCCTTGTTTGTCAGGGAATGTTTCAGAAGTCGTTTTAGATACTGACCTGGTCTTGTGTGAAGCGGTCCTTGTTTGTCAGGGAATGTTTCAGAAGTCGTTTTCCAGAGCTGCCCAGGCTGCCGTCAGGGAATGTTTCAGAAGTCGTTTTAGATTGTACTGACCTGGTCCAAACACAGGGAATGTTTCAGAAGTCGTTTTATTGTACTGACCTGGTCCTGTGTGAAGCGGTCCTTAAGAATAGGTGATCACCTGGTACTTCAACACTGTTATACAACAAAACATCTCTCATTCATCTGGCTGTACATCAAATTCTGGTTTAATCATGGAAATTAAGTTTCAAGTATTCAATCTCACATCTTAAATATTTGGAGAATGGGAAGGGTCATCAGACTTTACTTTTAGGAATGGGGAGGGTCGTCAGATTACCTTTAGGTATGGGGAGGGCCGGCCAGTGGACAGGTATTTCCCTCCATCCATCAGACTTCTCGTCCACCATGACCCAGTCATTGAGGTCATAGGTAAACATGTCCCCTGTGTCCAAGTCCTCACAAGTTATCTGTAATAGTTAATTAATAGATAAATCATCATGTAAAGACATCATCATGGCTAATACAGACACTGTTGTATAAATACACACACACATAGAATTCAGTGTTCAGTGCTTACCCTTCTAAGTAACCAGCCTTTCTTTTTTGTGATGTCAAGGTAACCGAGCCGAAGCTTATAAAGTTCTCCTATATCTGCTGCAAACTTGATCTACAATAAAGCAGATGGTAATAATATTGAAATATCCCTGTCCAACACATTTTCATAAAAATTTCAATATTATTTTTTCTTGTTAATTTTGTTGTTGTTGTTACCAAGACAACACTGACCTCACACACATCCTTCTGTCCGATCTGGAAAGGGTTTTCTCTGGAGGACTTGAGTGGACAAAGCTCACTTTCCCCCTCGCTGCCGATGAATGTGACCACAAGATCCAGAGGCACTCCCCCTTTCTGGCCCCCCGTGTCTGTACTGATCTTCCATGCCCCATCTAAAGTTACAGAATAATTTCGAAAGAATGTAGCATTGATTTTAGCAAATAATACAGGCCCATGGATCATGAAACAAACTTAGACTTCAGTCAAATTTTCAATCTTGTGTAAGATACTTTATGATTTATTGAATTAATCTCTAATTTGCAGAGAACAACACTTTTGTATAACAGTATTGTTAAATAGTTAAGATTTTGACATAAGCTTAAGATGGTTCATGATCCTGGGGCTTGGTTGCTGTCCACCCACCAGTATGTTTAAAGCTTATGGTATACATGTAAATCAAAAGAATAAAAGACTGATAACTGATAATGGAAAACATTTACAGATTTCTTATAAAGTTTTAAATATTTCAGGTACCATATCAATAACCTTTTAGAATTTTGTAGTTACTAATATGTAAATCAACCAACATGTACTCATACTTGATTGTGGTAAATCTTTGATTTGGTTGGCGGGAATGACTACAGCGCTCGGTTCAGTTGTACTCAGTCTGATGGTTTCTTCTACTTCCTGCTTCTTTGTGTCTTTGGACCCAATCCACCTATAAATTCAGACAACAAGTTTTGGAGAATCTACATAATTTCCACTATAGTAAACATATTATTTTGTTTTTATTTAAAACCATATGTAAAACTTCTGATATTGATCTTACTTTCCATGCAGGAAGTTGTATTGGACTGCACTGTATTGACTCTCCTTGACAACCACTTTGTCTAGTAACCATGGTAATCCAGGGCCCTTAGCGATCACAATCTTCTCCAATTCTCCCAGATCTACAGCTTCCACAGTGAAAGAGTCAACCTGCAAAAAAATACATATAAGGCCATGCAAAATTAATTCCTTGGTTCTCAGGCTTTTTTTAAGAAATATGATGAGGGAGGGATTTTTTTTTTACTTTTATTGCCCCCAAAACATGAAGAGGCAGCTTTTAAGATTGTACAAAACCTCAAAAATGATGAGGGAGGTCATTTGTTGTTTTTATTTGATTGATTTAGCAATAAAAAGGGTCAATGAGGCAACCTTGGAAGAGATGAGGGAGGGCCTGAGAACCAAGAAATTAAATATTTTTTGTCTAACAGTAATTAGTGAGAAGTACCAACTTGTAGTGTAAAAGAGTCAACCTTTAAAATATACACTGTATACAAGGAAATTTACGCCCCTGTTTTATTTTCGCCTCTTTTGCCCTTTCCTTGATTTAGCGAATTTAAAACGGTTTGAATTCAAATTACACTCCATAATTTCTTAAACAGAACTATGACTGGGCGAATATAAAATGGGGCAAAATTGTTCACAAGTTCAAAAGGGCGAAAATTACATGAGGCGAAAATAACCCTGTATACAGTACATATTTAAAATATTTTATAACAGTCATTAATGATAACAATTACCATGATCTTATAAGTCTTGTAAATATAAAGGTATGGGAAGCCAATTTATCATGTATAAGGTAGAAATCCACAAACGGTATATCTGATTTTTACTGATTTTAGCTAAACCTCTAGTGACGATCTTCTTCAGTTTCATTACCTGACCAGCCTGGAAGTTTTTTCGGCCATTACTGTGGAGATGTCGTCTGCCAGTGTCTGCGTCCTGTCCGTAAAGTGTGATAAACACGTGGGATTCAGTCCCAGCGTCCATTTCTTCATCACTTGTAAACAGCTGTATGTGGTACGGCAGAACTGAAAATATAGGTCAACATGATCTTAATCCACGTTACCACAATTATGGCAATTTTTCTAAATACATGTTCATATAAATAACACTAACAACTTTTTAAGGAAAAGATTTACTTTCAACTTGTTTAATTTTCTACTATCAGCATTAGCAGAAATCATAATATTTCTATTCCCACTTAATGTTTCACTAGTTACACAGACAACATGTTCACCTTGTTTGATTCCTTGTCCCATTTTGATGACGGGGAGTTCTTTTCTGATATCCCCTCCCAACTCTCCGATCCATCGGGAAAAGTCAAATTCTAGGATCTCCCCGGTGTCTTGGTCCTTCAAGGTCACCTAAAATCACAAGACATATACATGTTATTACATGAACCCGATCTCCTAAACTGGAGAAGCAAAATATTTATATTTTATTCACATGATCATCTAGGAGCTTAAGGAATCTCTGAATAAATTGCACCATAGATGAAAACTTAATTGCACTAAAGAATTTTTTACAGACTTCATTTTTAAAATGATTTTAAATTTTTATTGCTAAAGCTTGGTTTACAGTACAGACTATATTTCTTTAATTGTAAATTTGCTGAGAGTCTGACATAAATCATGCCCTAACCCTCTCACCTTCTCTACGGTCCACACTGTGTCTGGGTCCTGCTCGTAGCCGGCACTGACCCTGACCTTCTGGATCCTCCCAAGGTCACCAAAGGTCAAGTCCTGGAAGAAAAACACAGCAGACAAATAGTAACAACTTCTTTATAAAAACAATTACAAACTATGATAACACTAATCTATTTACTTTTAACATTATTAGATAAATTTTCATAGAAAACTTTCCTCCTTTTTGTAGTTTTTTTAAAGATTGTTTGTTTGTAATCTTCACACTTTCTGCTTTTCTCAAACACAACATATATATTTGATATATTAATGCTATCAATTCACAATGAAAGATCTTCAGATTAACTGTAGCTACATTATGTCAGACAGTGAATACTAACAGAGAACGTATCCGTCTGCCCTGGTAAGAAGGGTTCCCCCTGAGAGCTGATTAGTTCCACCGGCCCGTGTACGGAATCACTGCCGTAAACTGTCAGGGACACTTCCCGCGATTTACTGCTGCGATTTCTTGCCACATCAGGAAGTTGGTCAATATCTGCCGTCTTCACGGTACACATCCAGACTCCCTCTGAAATCAAATCATTACAATGCTGACCATCACAAAGTATTTCTAAATCATCAGTCAAACAAAACACTGCTACACTGATCTTTAATCATCTCCAGAATGCTCCTTAATTTTCAGTAATGTAAGTTTGCAATGTGCATGTACTTGTAATTGTCATAGAAAAACAAATTAATATATTGAGGAGAGTCATAAAAATTAAATGATCTGTATCTTTATACATGCCCGAGTTACATACTGACTTGATTTGTCTGTGTTTATTACTGATTTTTCTATTGACTACTGCCTTGATTTGTCTAGTGACTACTGATTTGTTGACTACTGATTTGATTTGTCTTTTGACTATTGACTAGGTTTGTCTAGTGACTACTGATTTGATTTGTCTGTGCAACTACTGATTTGATTTATCAAGTGAAAACTAACTAGATTTGTCTAGTGAATAATGACTTGATTTGTCTAGTGACTACTGATTTGTTGACTACTGATTTGATTTGTCTTTTGACTATTGACTAGTTTTGTCTAGTGACTACTGATTTGATTTTTCTGTGTTAACTACTGATTTGATTTATCTAGTGACTACTAACTAGATTTGTCTAGTGAATAATGACTTGATTTGTCTAGTGACTACTGATTTGTTGAATACTTACTAAAATTGTCTAGTGACTACTGATTTGTTGAAGACTGATTTGATTTGTCTTTTGACTATTGACTAGGTTTGTCTAGTGACTACTGATTCGAATTTTCAGTGTTAACTACTACTTTGATTTATCCAGTGACAACTAACTAGTGAATAATGACTTGATTTGTCTAGTGACTACTGATTTGTTGACTTCTGATTTGATTTGTCTTTTAACTATTGACTAGGTTTGTCTATTGATTATTGACTTGATTTATGTAGTGACTATTGATTAAATTTACCTGTGTTGACTACTGATTTGATTTGTCTTCTGACTATTGACTAGGTTTGTCTAGTGACTACTGATTTGATTTGTCTGTGTTAACTACTGATTTGATTTATTTAGTGACTACTGACTTGATTTGTCTATTGACTATTGACTAGATTTGTCTAGTGACTACTGATTTGATTTTCCTATGTTGAATACAGACTTGATTTGTCTACTGACTATTGACTAGATTTGTCTAGTAACTACTGACTTGATTTGTGTAGTGACTATTGACTTGATTAGTCTAGTGACTACTGACTAGATTTGCCTCTGACTGGTGGATTGCTGACCGGCATCTGACCCAGTGGACGGAGATGTCTGACCAGTTGTCGGTCCTCACAGCCCGTGTCCAGCCATTGGTTACAGGGGAAGACCTTTAGAACATTGGACAGAGTGGACTTCACCACGACCCGGTCACAGAACCAACCTCGTCCACGACCCCGTTCTGTGTGACTGACCACAACCTCCCTTAGCTTTCCAAGCTCCAGACCCCGAATCTTAAACTCATCAACCTGTAGGAAAAAGTATTTAAAATTCAGTGCTATGAATAATCTTTAATGACTTGGATTTTTTGTCTTTGAAAAAGTGTTCAAGCGCCTGCTCTAGAGTCACAAAGCAAGGAGTTGATCCTTAAGCCATGGTTTGATTCCACAGTTGGGTTTGAATCCCACTACGGGACATGGAGACCGGTCTTTTGGATGAGATCGTATAAACGGGGGTCTCATTTTTGCAGTAGGTGCTGGCATGAAAAAGATCTCTTACTGCCCAAAGGCCCTGAGTGCCGAGTATAGGACAAAAATTTGCAGCTCTCCCTTGGCAAATTTTGCATGGCCATACGAGTCAAAAATTATCAAGAGGGACCTTAATCTTTCCCCCTTCATTGAATACATTGTAAAAGGATCGACCAAAACAATTTAATGTAGAAACATAAGTTGTTTCTCACCTGTCCCTGCCTGAATGGCACCTGATTGGTTGATTTTGCCAGTAACCTTGACCCTGTATCTCCCCATTCACCAATCAGATTACACGACACATCAGCTGATGTGTCTGCCAAGTGTAGGTTACCGGTGGATACGTACAAAGTATACTCATCCTCTGTAACAGAAAGGGCATTTCAGATTGATGATACAAAAACATAAACAAGAGGCCACATCGCTCACCTGAGTAACTTGGGTGATGCAGTTCTTTACCAGATTCACATCTTGCTTTACCTATCATGCCCCACTACCCCCTTCCCTTTTACGATTTTAAAACTTTAGAATCTACACTACCCGAGGGTTCTTCCATATAAGTTTCAGGTATCCTGGCCCAGTGGTTCTTGAGAAGAAGATTTTTAAAGATTTGTTCTATATATTTCTATGTAAAATTTGGATTTCTTATTGTGGCCCCGCCCTACCCCCGGGGGTCATGATTTTAACAACTTAATATCTACACTACCCAAAGATGCTTTCACATATGTTTCAGCTTTCCTAGCCCAGGGGTTTTTGAATAGAAGATTTTTAAAGATTTATTCTATATATTTCTATGTAAAACTTGGATTCCCTATTGTGGCCCCAGCCCTACCCCCGGGGGTTATGATTTTAACAATTTAATATCCACACTATCCAAGGATACTTTAACATATGTTTCAGCTTTCTTGGCCCAGTGGTTCTTGAGAAGAAGATTTTAAGGATTTGTTCTATATATTTCTATATAAAACTTGGATTCCCTATTGTGGCCCCGCCCTACCCCTGGGGGTCATGATTTTAACAATTTTATATCTACATTACCCAAAGATGCTTCACATATGTTTCAGCTTTCCTAGCCCAGGGGTTTTTGAATAGAAGATTTTTAAAGATTTGTTCTATATATTTCTATGTAAAACTTGGATTCCCTATTGTGGCCCCAGCCCTACCCTCGGGGGTTATGATTTTAACAATTTAATATCCACACTATCCAAGGATACTTTAACATATGTTTCAGCTTTCCTGGCCCAGTGGTTCTTGAGTAGAAGATTTTAAGGATTTGTTCTATATATTTCTATATAAAACTTGGATTCCCTATTGTGGCCCCGCCCTACCCCTGGGGGTCATGATTTTAACAATTTTATATCTACATTACCCAAAGATGCTTTCACATATGTTTCAGCTTTCCTAGCCCAGGGGTTTTTGAATAGAAGATTTTTAAAGATTTGTTCTATATATTTCTATGTAAAACTTGGATTCCCTATTGTGGCCCCAGCCCTACCCCCGGGGGTTATGATTTTAACAATTTAATATCCACACTATCCAAGGATGCTTCCACATTAGTTTCAGCTTTCCTGACCCAGTGATTCTTGAGAAGAAGATTTTTTAGTGACCCCACCCTATTTTTGTCTTTTCTTGATTATCTCCCCTTGTAAGGGGACTTGGCCTTTCATTTTAACAATTTATACCTCCCTTCACCCAAGAATGCTTCGTACCAAGTTTGGTTTAAATTGGCCCATTGGTTCTTGAGAAGAAGTCAAAAATGTGAAAAGTTTACAGACAGAAGGACGGACGGACAGGCGGAAGGACGACGGACAAAATGTGATCAAAAAAGCTCACTTGAGCCTTCGGCTCAGGTGAGCTAAAAAGTTAAAATACCGTATATACTCACCTGTAAGAGGGTATTTTGGGAGTTAAATATTGGTCTAAAACTCTATGTCTGACTTATTGGCGAGTCATGAAGAAATTAGTATTTTTCTGGAGGCTAAAATGTAGTATCTTATTTGCATTTCCGACGATTATCAAAGAAAATGTATGGATATAGAAGATAATTTATGCATTCTTAGGTTATATATATGAAGTACAAGTATTTATATATTTTAATAATTTTATTTGTATATTAAGTGAGCATTGCCTTTTTTAAAATAATTTAAGATTGAATATCAGTGTCATTTCGAAAAAAAAATTAATTGAAACCAGGTTAAAATATCAAGGGATTTACATGAAATTGTCATCAGATTTTGGCAAAAAAATGTACCGACTTATAAGCGAGTCAATAACTTAAAAAAATACAACCGACTTCTAGGTAGACCGACTCATAAGCAAGTATATATGGTAGATTTTTAAGGGATTTAGAGTTGGAGATTTCCAAGATTACCTTGCAGAGGGGCGAGATCAGGTCGAATGGCAGGAAGTTCCACCAGCCCTGTAGGATTGTCTGTCGTGGGCTCTATCAGTTTGTTGTGAGTGAACATAAACTGCTGTTTTGTGTCAGCATCTTTCAACTTTAACTATAAAACAAGCGTAAAAATCAAACCAACATTTTTTTTAAAAGCACTGCATATCATACCTCTTAGCTACAAAAGAAAATACTTACTTTATTGAGGAACCATGGAGTACCAGTAAAATCTCCACCATAGTATAAATGAACCTTGAATATTGCACCAATGTCCCCTACATTTAACTGCAAATAAAAGGGGTCATATTAGAAGTCATAATAATCATACATAAGTACATAAGACTTGTGTAGGGAGACAATGATCCACCTCTGAGAAGAGCTTACATCAGAGATAATAAGAGCACCAGGTGAAAGCTTTTCCTTGCTGTTGATGTGATAGGGGGTGGAGTGACCTTTGACCCCGTACACCACTAGGAAGATGTCATCCTCTGTTCCGTTTTTTCCACACTCCACCAGGATTCGCCAGCGACCCTTAGAGACAAGTGGAGAGATATCACCGTAGAAACGCTCAACCACCTTACTGGGTACTTCACACGGCTGTACAGCTGCAGAGAAATAATAACAGTTCAGTTACATAGAGCGTTCAAGCGTCTATAAGCACTAGCCCAATTATTTTTTTTTTTCCTGTTTGAGAGAGATTTGCCTCTTGAACATTGAGGTTGTGGTCAGTCACACTAAGAATAATATGATTACTGACAGGGGTTTAATTTACGAGAGATACTTTACAAGTTATTTAATAATTACATGTACTGACTGAAGGTAATTTCTTGACTCCTGACAGATTTGGAAGATAATATGTTGACTACTCTATAATTCTGAGAGGAATTTTTTTTTACCCTACCTTCAGCTGGGAATTCCTGGGATACTTTGCTGCCCCCAGGCAACAAATCAAACAGAAAATGGCAGTTGAACACAGTCTGATAAATTGCTGTGGGTTTCTCAAAAATCCTCACTCTATCCACTGACCAACTCGTTCCTGGAGGAAATTAAAATGACATCAAAAATTTCATTCAGATTTGTAAATTTAAGGACAGAAAGACAATTATTATACATGTTGTTAACCTCGACTTTCAAAGTGGAGCTGGATTTTTTTGAGAGCACCGAGATTAATCGACTCGATAATGAAGGAGGCCTCCTCTCCCGGTTTCCATGGTGATTTCCCGCTCAGTCTCCTCTCTCCAGTGTCACCATACTCTCCCTGGATATTAATGCTGACCTGACCTTCACTGGCTCCAGGGTCAGAGGTCAAGGAGGTCTGCACCAAAATCACGTACTGACAAACTGCAAACCCAAAACAGATAATTGTGTATTCAGAAAGTCAAAACTTTTACAAATTTACCATGGGAATATTATAGTAAAACTGAATGCTTTAACATTTGATTCCTGTGCCCTGTAATGTACCTTTGGAGGGGCGTGATAATTATAATTAAATTGAATGCGTTAACATTTGATCTTTGTGCTGTGTGACAGTTACCTGGGAGGGGCATGTCCTCGGGGTGATCTATCTTACGTTTACGGGATGATCTATCTTACCTGGGAGGGTCATGTCCCCGGGGTGATCTATCTTACCTGGGAGGGGCATGTCCCCGGGGTGATCTATGGAGAACTCCCTGACAACCTGACCGTCCTCCTCATCAACAGAGAACCACCGGTTTATAAAAATCTTGTGGTGCTCATTTGTATCCACGTCAGTCATCTCCACCTAATAAAGATAAACTTCTAATTAGACTAATCATTTCAAATTTAATATTTTACAAGGACTTTTGGCTTAAGTATTCAACTTGGTCAGGATAAACTTCTACTTGATCCAGAGTTGAACTTTTTCAGATATAAATGTCTAAGTTGTACTTTAATATCAAAGAGAACTGACCCAGTCAACATGCCAGGAGGGCGAGTCATTCTTGTTGTTGTGTTCGAGTCGGATCTTCAGCAAATCTCCAACGTCACCAAAGTCTACCTGCTCAAGTAACGCAGATAATTAATTCATGAAATATAACACAAAAATAGTAACAAAGTCCTAAAAAATTGCCTGCTCAAGAAACACAGATAATTAATTAATAAAATAATGCAGATAATAAATTCATAAAATATTCCAGATACATAATGTGACAATTTTTCTGAAAAAGAGGCGGACATTTCGTGACGGCGGACATAACGTGACAGCGGACAAAACATGACTCAACAACAGTCACAAAGTCCCCATTTATCTACATGCTCAACCAAAGCATTTATTGATTTATAAAGTAATACAAATATAGTCACAATGTCCTCAATATCTTTCTGCTGAATCAACAGAGGTGATAAAGTCATAAAATCTGGTTCTTATAAGTCATTTTTTTTCAATATTTTGCAGCAATATATCTTTTTTAATATGAATTAGTACATGTACTTACATTAAATTCTGAGACAGCCCCTGGAGTGAATTCACGCTGATCTGGTTGGCCTGACCCCAGCGGCTGCTTTTGAGACTGTCCCTTTGTACCAAATGCCGTCAGATACACCTGAGCTCCTGTCCCAGAATCCTTCTCTTCACTGGTCTTCACTGTCACTGACCATTTACCCTCTACAAATTCAAAAAGTCTAGGCTACAGAAAACTATGGAACATAATACAAGTCTTTATTATGCAAACCGAGTTTTTATCTGTAATTGATGAAATATGCCTTTTTTTGACAAACAATTTGAATTTTCTTGAAAGCATCCTTTTATCTTTCTTTATTTAGACGGTTACTTTAAATGGCCATAGTATATCATTTCCTAACTGTCTTCATCTAACTGGTATCACAAAACGTTGTAGAATAATGTATGTATATGACTTTCTAGTAGTTGGAATCTTTTATAATGCATACCGGTATTTATATAATTTACTTCATTTTTGCATGGAATCTGTAAAAGATTTACTTTTCAGTAACTTACTTGATTTCTTCTTTAAATCTCTTTGTGGGGGTCTCTTTGCTGGATCTCTCTTTTCTAAAACAATAAAAAGTTTCATGTTCAAATGCCTGTTTCTCCATCTCATATGTACAGAAAATACTTTGCATGAGGGTTTTGCTGCTGGTGCCTGTGTTGTTACTAACCTAGCATTGGTAAGACCCTCCATGTTCTTTTGTCCCCTTCTCTCTCGTCCAGCCAGGACTGACATGGAAACACGTACTGGACGTCAGGACTGGACTTCTCCGTGACCTTGACATCCTCTATGTACACCCCAGCGCCGTGACCTTTACTGTCGTGACCTATTTGTACTTGACTGAGTTGACCAAGAGAAACTGCCTCAAACAGGAATCTGTCAACCTGGTGGAGAGAGTTGTTTTAAAAGTTTAAAATCAATAATTTTGTAGTTGTCAGATACAAGTATTAGAGTTTTATATGTTTTTGTAATGATCAGATTCAATTCATCTTTAATTTAGTTTAATTTAGAACCTCTCCCTGCTGAAATCTATTCACATTATGTATGAGAGTGAACATTAACCTATGACCCTGGTGAATGATTTGTACTTGACCACACCAGACCCTACCTTTCCCCGCTGGAATTTGTCCCCGTCCTGGAGGGAGTGATACAATTTCCGTCGTCCGGTGTCCCCTTTATCTCCAAATATAGTAACAAAGATGTCCGCATCTGTCTCTGCTGCCCAGTGATTCCCAGTGGTAACCTCCACTTCAAACTGCTGAACTAAAAATAGACATTAGATCATAACCTCCAATTCAAACTGCTGAACTAAAAATAGACATTAGATCATAACCTCCACTTCAATTTGCTGAACTAAAAATAGAGAAGGTCATAACCTCCACTTCAAACTGTTTAACTAAAAAAATAGACCAGAAAAATGGAAACCTATCTAAAATAAGATCTTTTTTTAGAAGTGAAGATGGTGAAAATATAAAATATTACTGCATAATCTCACAGAATGTATACATAGACGGTATTCAATGTTTTGGAAGCCGAATTACTGTTCAATTACAATAGACTTGAGTATAACAGTATTTTTTGGCATGTTTTCTCTAGTGCAAATCATGAGTGAAAAAGGTTGTCCCGTACCTTGTGGTGGTGGTTTGTTTTTGTGGATGATTGGGAACTCCCGTGTGAGATCAAAGTCGTCTTTTTCTCTGGAGAGCCAGCGATCACACCGGACAATAAACACCTCGCTGGTGTCCAGGTCCTGTAGCTTGAGTTCCTCGAGGTGCCACGCCTTCCACGTGTGGAGATCCTCTCTACTCACTCGAATCTTATACAGGTCACCTATATCACCCACATTGATCTGAAGTGAAACAAAATTCATATAATATTATGTATTCTTTTAAGAAACTACACGCTCAACAAGATCCTGTGATTCCTTGATTGGCAAATCATTATTAGTTTAAAAATTATCTTTGAACAAAAACATTCATATGCGTTGACAGCAAAATGAAAGTGGGGGGAGGCTAAACTAACAAAAAAAGAAAAAAACAAAATTTTTATTGCCTATATTATGTATATAATTGAGGAAAAAAATCTTTGTGATACAGTTTGTGTTTACACTAAAAGCATATTAATGAAGCCCCTTACAGTGAAGCTGTCAATGTTCCCTGGCTCAAACAGTTTATCCCCGGGGCTGGGGGCAGTCAGGGTGATATCCTCACTTCTCCCGTTCTCTCCATATACGGTCAGGTCCACCTTACCCCCACCAGCAGGGGACGAGTCCTCACTGGTCTTCACCGACAGACTGAACTCTCCTCCTGCAAGTAGAACAGGGCAAAATACATATTCAGACAAAAAATAGGTCTATAGGACATGAATGCCTTCACCAGGGAACATTTGAAATGCAACATAAAAATTTGGTTTAGTGTATAAAGTTTAATGAACATTTTGCATTTTTTTCTGTAAAACTGAGTCAAATATTTAAAACCCTTCAAAACTCAGTTTTTATTTGCCAATTAAATCTCTCTAGACAATCGAGGTATCCTCCGACGCGGGAATTATTCCTTAAATAATTTTGACCCATAAAGAAGACAAAAACTTACTGGATTTAGTAGCTTTCTCTGTGAACCAGCCTGGAGTCAACTCCACCTCACATTTACCATCTCCCTCTGTCTCCGACAACCACCTACAGATATAACACACGGTTTAGTAAACACCTAAACGTTTACTGATCAAAGTAAATCTACCTGTATAGGCCTGCCTACCTGTCACAGGTGAATCTGTAGTCCTTGTCTGGTTTTTCTTCTGACCTTATGATGACCTTGTCCAGATACCAGGACGGGTCCGAGCCTTTCTTGTCGTGACCAATCACAATGCGGTCCACTTCATCCAGGGACACCGCCTCCAACTCAAAGATGTCATGCTGAAATACAGGTAACGTACACTACTTTAAAACACAGATGATCCTTCGAGCAAGAAAATCTACAGAAAAGGTCAATATTGATGTCTCCAAAGCTAAAAGATTTTTTAGGACTATTAGAAGATTGAAGCATTGAACAAGGAGTAAATCTTCTGTATTTAACAGTTTAACTTCTCTGTTCTGAGACTGAATCTTGTTGATGTTTGTTTGTTTTTATGTTGTTTAATGTCCCTTTCAAGAATTTTTCAATCATATGGAGAAGCCACCACTTGCCGGTGGAGGGCTGCAAAATTCTGTCCTATACTTGTCACTCAGGGCCATTGAGCAGTGACGGATTACATTAATTTCTCATAATATATAAATCTGATGATTACAATGTGCAATATACCTGACTGTATCTGTGATGTTTTTTTTTAAAGTTTATATTGGGTAAACAGAAAATGTCTATAACTTTTTACATAGAAAGAGATACAGACTTTCTAAGACTTAGAATACTCACTGCCCCTTTCTGGAATGGGTCATTAGATGTTTTGGACTTGAACAGTTTGCGTTTGCCTGTGTCACCACGTCTCCCATAAATACAGATAAAGACGCCGGCGGTGGTGCTGGCTGCCTCCTCTGACCCTGTGTATACCTCCACCGTGTAAGTCACCACTGTTACAAAGAAACCACAAACTGATGAATCTGTCCTATGACTACACTATACATAGTCTTCGCTGTTCAGTTTTCCTTGGTAACAAATTTAGATGCACACAATTAATTTGAAATAATATTTGAGCTTGTTCTATATTTAAACCAGTGTTCAGAAACAGGGGTGCACAATTTTGATTTGGAACTGAATCCTATTGATAAGACTGTACCAAAGTCAACATGACTCATTGTATTAATTTCATATCAAATCAAGAGTTATTTCCCTTTTAAAGATTTTTTTCTGCACATAAAACATACTAATATTTAAATCATGAAATATACAGCGAAGTGATTTTCATTCCCATTAACTTTAAAAAAAAATGTGAAAACTGAACAGATATAATGATAAGATTTGGCCTTCATTCTAGTTTTTTTTTAAATTTAATTCATGAAATTAACACCCAAGTCCATAGAGTTAAGTATAGTTAAGTATAGAGAACTGAAATGTTCACAACATGCTACAGTAAAACTTGTCTAGTACATACATGGATATTGCAAATTCACAGATAGAGCGAAGTTATCTTGGATCCCTAGTTATATATATTTAACACATTCCTTGTACGGATATAAAGAATTACGGATATAGAGAAATAGTTTAATAGGTCCCAGTGAGTTCATTATAACTGAGTTTTACTGTAACGATTGTGGTATCATTTTATAAAAGACCTATAAAAATCATCTCACCTGGTAAAACTTTTCCAATCTGGGAGATTGCGAATTCTCTCCACACATCACCGTCGTCATGGGAACGAGACAGCCACCTGTTGACCTCAATATTGAACTCGTCGCCGTTAGAGCAGTCCTGAAGCTTCAGCTGTAAAAATCAGTGGAAGATTGTCAAACATTTATTAGGTGTTCATGATAAAGTAATAATTATTAATCTACATCATGAAACAGTTTGAGGATTTCTGAGAATCTGAACAAAAGGAAATTGTATTCTAACCCTCTCTAAAAACCATCCACTCCCAGGGTAGGCCTCATTGTGTCCAATCCGGATTTTGTATACCTCCCCTGCACCACTGCCAAATGACATCTACAATTATAAACAAATAGCAGAATACCGAGATATAAAACATGTAAAAATGATTTTAAAATGCCATGCTATGAATGAAGCACTTGAAATGGCACTTAAGAAATGTTCACTAGGCCCTACATGTTATTTTTTCAGATCATGCAGAAATTGAGCCCCTATCTGATTTGATGCTGTAAATTTGCCTCAAATAACTTGACATTTTTTCTATCGTTTTAAAGAATTTATATAAAGAAGAAAGAAAGCTCATAAAATATTTTTTTTTACACTTTTTTTAATTTTGTTAATGTGACCTATAACTTACCAAAGTGACCATGGTTTAAAAACCATGGATTTAATGCTTTTTCTGCTTGTGACCTTGACTTTCCCAAAAGGATCTTATATTAAAGTTAAGACTTACTTTTTGCTCATAAAAAATTTTTTTTTTTTCGAAGTCCAACAAAAATTTTTATACTTTTTCTATCAGTGACCTTCCTAGTGTGACTAATGGTCAGAATATTTTCTGCCAGTGACCTTGAAATTATCAGTCTGAGAATGATTTTGGGATAAGGTCATGACACTCTCTCTGGTCATACAAAGATCTTCATTCAAAGTATAAGCAAAGCCTTCCAATGATTCTCAATTACAAAGTTATTGCCCAGACAGACAGACAAACAAGGTGATTCCTACCAACCCTTAGTACCTTAATTATGTCTGTCGTTCCAGCCCTGAAGAAGCCATCTTTTCCATTCCCAAGCTTCAGTGGTCCAGCACTTCCATTGGTTCCATAGGCATACAAGAACACCATGTTACTGGTCGCCATGGATTCCTCCTTGCCAGTGGTGATCCAAATCTTCCAGTCTCCCTCTGAAGAAAAACATTCAGCTTTGATTCCATTTCACTAATAATAGATATATATACTGAGACACACACAAGAGGCCTGAGGGCCTTGACAGCCACCTCTCAGAGATTGTGAAGCCTACACTTGAATTTGATAATTGATATCATTCTGATTTCAAAATGTCTATATTTAGCCTACACTTGATGTCATTCTGAGTCTATTCTTATTTTATCTTTGTCAAAGTGTCTTTTACAGCCTACCCTTGATGGTATTTTATACTACCTATCATGGTGATTAGATTTCATGATGTCTATTTTTAGCCTACCTTTGATGGTATTTTCTTCATCCTCTTCTATAATGGTGTCCACCTGGACAGGTAAAACCTCTAAAAATAGACATAACTCTATTTCAGATGACTAAAATAGACGTAACTCTATTTCAAACTACTAAAACACATGAACATTGACGTTTCTAATTTATTTCAAATTACTGAAAACCAATAAAACTCCTCATGTTCTTTAATGCAAACCTATGAGAAATGTCATTCAAAAAGGATATGTCGAATCTTCAGTTAATTAAATTACTTTATTCTTAAATATAATTTTATAATCAATTAATTTTTTTTATTCATTTCAAATGTTGAACACTTCTTCCTTTGAGAAATAAAAGTCAAAGTTTTTCTTTTCTCTTTGACATAATTTAATGATTAATTTGTGTTATATAAATAGGTACTATAAGTTTCAAATGTCTGATTCCATGCTGAACAATCAATACTGAAAATATTAAAATGAAAAAAATATCTATTCCTAATTACTACCATATATTTTTAAACAATAAAATCATTTCAAATATAATAAAATTTTGTCTGAGTGTTCAAGTCTTCAGAAATTATATCCTACTATACATGTATATGCAAAATAAAAAAAATATACCTGCATGGCTACTTCCAAATCCAACATATTTAAACTGAGAACAAAAACATCAAACTAACCAAGACAAAATCAATGTCATTCACTTTAAAGCAGATACCAGATACCACCACCAGTTGCCGTGACAACATGTACACAACATTCATGTTTGACACGCAGCTATCGTGCTCCACCGTATAGTGGAAAGAAAAATAAAAATCACAACAATAGCTAAACAAAAACCACCATACACTGCTAATATTTATATAATATACTTACTCTAGCAAGTATGCACTTGGTTATAAATGATTTACATTCAAAAGCCTGGGAATTAAGCTTTATTTACAATATATTCAATATTTTGCAAAGGCATTTTTATATGTGATTTTAAAGCACCTCAGACATTTTTTAATTTCAGTATATCTTAAGAGTACAAAGACTGCATTGTCATAAAAATCCCAGAAAGTTTAACTTTTGGTGTGTCCTGTTCAACATATGACTGTGTTGGTTAACTATCGATGGTTAAATTAAGATACTGTTTCCAGTTACTCTGTTCTGTGAACGGATGGCCATGTTAATTATATATTGTGTGACAAGACGTTGAAGGCACTGTATCAAAACATCCAGTCTTGCAGGAGTCTGATGCAGGATTTTGTTAAATTTTCCAGCAACACAGGTTAGATCTCACAAGTGAGGGTTAATATGAACATGTACGTGTGTTGGATGTATCTGGTAAATCATACAATGTTTAGAGTTAGTTGTTAAAAGTCTTACCCTTGATATCAGAATATCTAATGAAGGGGGCAGGTTCTGGTAAAATGGATAAAACACACATCAGATCAAGATTGTCCACATTTATTATCAAATCATGTAGTACATAGGATTCGTTGTCTAATGGAGGTCAAATTGACAATTCATTCTCCACAACATTAACTAGCATGAAAGGTGGGGGAAATGTACAAAACTGAATATTCACTGGAAACGTCACAGAATTGATTGTTATAGACAGTAAAATTTAATTTAAAACAAATTTAAGCATCTAAAAAAATTAAAGACACCTGGTTTAAATCAATTATTTTCAAAAAAAAAAAAATGAAAGAAATTTATTATTACATATATATTAAAAACCTTTGATCACTTAAACAGTTAATATATTGTTAAAATATTATATGGCACATTTAATATATATTTAAAGGCCCCAAGATACTTTAATGTATTTGGCAAAATCTTCTCCCCAAGAGTTATATATGAATATATATTTTGAGTATTATACACTACATAATGAAATATGGTACACACAGGTTATACAAAGCATCATGCACTCAATGAGTATTGTTATAAATATAACATGCTTTCTCTGTCTTGTTTGTATTAACATAAAATTAAAATTCATCCATGTCATTTATATTAGTGAGTAATATACAATTTCATGCATGCAACACAATACTATGTTAGGGATGTTACAATGTTATAAGTATGATCTGAAATCAAACAAGCATGAATCCTGAGATGAAACAAATCTAGTGTCTGAACACATGCCCTTATATTAAATTGTCTATCATTTTTTATTTTTCTGAAAACTGTCAGGTAGCTTAGATGAGAAGTATTCTTGACAATATTTTACAATCCTTGGAGAAAAACTTATTGCTACTCTTTATTTTTCTTTTTTATAATTACAAGAATATTCTAAAATAATTTACTTAAAAAAATTCAAGGCAAATAAATTTCTCAAGAAAAATATAGTTTGGATTGTGTAGAGTTATCTCCCTTTATCATTTGCATGCGATAAAAATAACAAACTTCTGTTTTTATAGAGTAAATAGTACCTACTTTGTTCTGTTAATCGGAAGCTGCAACCTATTATCTACAGACCTATACTATCAGATTGTCTCCCCTTACACCAGAAATAATATCACAGAAAATTAACAAATCACAGGGTAAACCATAGCACCATATGATAATGTCTAAAGGCTATGGGAGGATAAGAGGGGGAAGCTCCCCCCACTGGCAAGGTTAAGGTTAGGAAGCCAGAGGTCAGGGGTCACCCATCACCTACCCTTGACAGCCAGGGTTCGCTCGATGCGCCGGTCTTCTTTATTGACATCTAGCCACCTGCAAAATATTTAGTATAGCATTAAAACATCATATCTAGCAAATATATACATGTAATTCCATTACTTCAATGTAAAAATGTGAATAACTTCCAAATTTTATTTATCATTTCAAGACTCTGTGACAATGTTACTTTAATGCAATAGTCTGTTTGAAAGCTAGGATTTCTATATTAATTTTACAAAATTCATATCCCAGTTTAATTATTATCAGCACTTCATATTCAAAATGTATTCATGAACCAGTGTTTACTATTTGTACTGCCTGATCTCTTACTATTGGTATACACTGTTTTATAAGTATTGTTTACTTTAGGTGTTGTGTATTAGTAATGGGTGACTCATTCTTACTTTTCACACGGGAAGATGTATTCCTCTTTTGATTCCTCACTTTCCCTTACTGTGATTCGGTCTAAGAACCAACCCTGGTCACTTCCTGTCCCATCATGTCCCACAATGCACTTCTCCAGCTTCCCTAACGACACAGCCTCAATCTCAAAAATGTCCACCTGTAAACAAAGTTAATCATTAATGAAGTGGATATTGTCAAAATTCAAAATACCAACAAGAAAAATTTACATAAGAAAAATCTGCCATGATTTAGAGAGGCCTAGAGATTTAAATCCACCAGGTTTGATTGATGCACTGATATTTTTTTAAGAGTGTCTAGTTATACATGCCCACCCCTAAATTTAAAGTTATACCTGCCCACTCTTAGACTTATTAGTTAAACCTACCTACTCCTAAACTTATAGTTATACCGGACAACTCCTAGCTTAGTTTTATACCTGCCTACTTCTGAATTCAGTTATACATGCCCACTTCTGAACTACCTTATACCTGCCCACTCCTTAACTTATAGTTAAACCTACTTACTCCTATATTAACGTTTATATCTGCCCGCTCCTAAATTTCTAGTTATACCTGCCTACTTCTGAATTCAGTTATACCTGTCCACTCCTGAACTTGTTGGTGTTGTTTGAGTTAAGAAGGACCCTTTTCCCTGTGTCTCCCTTCTCTCCATAAATATTCAGATAAACCTCAGCATTGGTTTCCGCTTCATCCACGTCACCGGTGTGTACCAGGACATAGTACTTAAAAACTGAAAGCAGAAACACATTCAGTATAAACGTAACCGCTACATTTTGTTCTAAATCAAGATTTTTTAATCAATGCTACAAAACATATTCCACTGCAGAAATCAACAAACACAAATATTGGATAAACTCGGGTTACCTGGAGGAGTTTCCTCCCCTGGCCAGACAGCAGGAAGTTCCCTCATGATCTCCATATCCTCATGTTCCCGTGACAACCAGCGGTTAAACGTGAAGACGAATGTCTGCTCCGTGACCACATTCGTTAGTCTAACCTCGTTAACTTTCCAGGACGGCTTCTTTGATGAGGATTTTGGCAGTAGCTCAAGTCGAATTTTGTAAAACTTTCCAACCTTAAGAGTGGACTGAAAAGAAAACAAAGGAATATCACTGTGTGTTAGTCGACAAAATACATAAGTGTTAAATGCAAAACCATATAAACTGTTAAAAAATCTCTTTTTTAAAAACCTCTTCAAAATTCAAAAGTAAGTTTTTCCAAGCATGTGTATTTTAAATGACATTTAAATATGTCACATTTTGGCTGGTAGCTGTGTGCTATGGAAACACACCCTGAATCCATCTTCGTTGTTAGGCTGGAAGATCTCTCTCCCTGGCGGCGCCTCTAATCGGATTCCTCCCGAACTACCGCTATCTCCGTAGGCCACCAGCGCCACATCAGCGTTCATCAACTGCTCAATGGTGGACACATGGATGTTCCAGTCATCCTCTGTCAAAAAGCAGGGCAGAAAAAAGTAAATAGAAGTGTACATATATAACAACTAGGTACAGTATTAATGGATGTAACAGTTAATGCTGCAACTTGTGTCTTCAGGTTCATATTCCTTGTCTTAGGGTCAATAATTTATCCTAGGAACTCTTTTACAGCTTTTTACTTTTAGGATTACTTTTTCTCTGAAGCTTAAATGAAGACTTAATAGCTTTAAAGTTTAAACCAATGTAAAATGTAGCTTTACAATGTAGATATATAATTTTCTTGAAAGTTCTCAATATTAACCTCTTGCAAAATCTATAATTTATGCTTCACAATTTTATGAGTTGATGGATTTAAGTTTTTACTGTTAGAAGAATGTTCATTCTCCACTCATTTACTCCAAAACAGTAAACAGGTCAGACAAACAATTGGTAACAATGGTTTCTGTAACATTTAACTTGTCATCTTGTTTTGTAATACAACTTTTATTAGTTAAATTTTAAAAGAGTGCAAGTCCTCTTTAATTTTCAAACTGAGATGGAGTATATAAGTCATTGACAAAAAAATTATGCAACAAAGCAGTTGAAATGAAAAGTGATCAAAAGCAATATGTTTACATGATTTAAAAAGATTCAAACCAAAGAAACAACATATAGCACTGATACAGGCACTTAATAAAGCTCTTTCTCAAGTCAGACACAAACACAGGAGCACAATACAAAATATTACACTCAGTCTAATAAAGATAGAAATGCTAAAGGTCGGAGACTGATTTTTGAGGTCAAGGTCACAAAGGGGTGTGTACAACTGAGAAACAAGGGATGGAGGGAGAGTGAAGGGAAGCAGGGAGAGTGTTAGAGGTTTGAGTGACTTATTACCTCAAGATGTTACTAAAACAAAACAAAAATCTAACCTGTTATTACAACTTATTTCTGATTTATAAGCCTGACAAACTGACATAAACTCACATCCATCAAACTCAAAACTATTACAGGAAACTAAGGGAGATAAGCCTGGTCAGGAAAAACCCTCTAAAACAGTATGCTTTAACATAAGGTATGGTTTCTGAGGACTTCTTTCTTCTACATTTTTTTTTTTTTTTAAATCATCCAGATGAAGAAGAAAAAAAAAGCCTGCATTCAAATCATTTAAATCTTATCCTCGAAAATAGAACCCAAATTATAGAACACTAGCAAATGGCATGTGCTTCTTTTCCTCTGTTAAAAAAACAGCTTTTAAGATGCAATAATAACTAAAGAATTCTAATGAAGCATCAGCTCAAGGTGGATATACATGATGTTTGGTCAGTGTAAATCATGAGTGCTGAAATTTAATCCTATAACTGCAGCAATAAGAATATTGGGTAGACAATGTGATTTTAGTATCTATATATATATTTGGGAATTAATAAAATCATAAACATGATAAATGTGCATCTGTCAATATCGATGACTCACAGGGTTATTTGATAACACTGGTTAGGACATTTCAGCAGCAAAGCAGGGTGGGTTACTGAATACCCCATACTTACCCCCAACTCGATATTGAGCGTCCTCAGTCAAAAACACTGCAAGGTCAGGAGATCAACATTAATGAGAAATGGGGGTGTCAGTAAAACATGGATAATTAATGTGGGGGGACTAAACATGTTTAATTGAAGTATTTAACAACAATATTAAAGGGAAGTTTCTGAGATTTCTGTCTCCAGCGTGATTTAGTACAGACCTGCGTGACCCGGTTTGATCGGCTGTGGCGTCGCTATCAGAGGAGATTCCGCTATCGCTGGCTCCATTTCTTCCTCCTCTTCCTCCACTTCAGCAATGCTAGGCGTCTTCCTCGCTCCCCCTGTATATCAAGAGGATCAATCAAACATAAATTACTTTCATTATGTTTAAATGACTATATTTCGTGTATATTTTATGCGAAAGCAAGGGAAGGAATGAAAGACTTTTTTAATTCCCAATAGCATTTTGGTGGTGAATATCAATACTGCATAAAAATTCGGAGTACTGTATACATGGAAATGTTTGCCCCCGTTTTATTTTCGCCTTTTTCGCCCTCTTCTTGAATTGGCAAATATAAGACGGAGCGAATTGAAATTACACAGCATAATTTCTTAAACAGAACTATGACTGGCGGAATTTAAAATGGGGCAAAACTGTTCGCAAGTGCAAAAGGGCGAAAATAACACAGGGTGAAAAAAACCCTGTATAGAGTATACTGTAAATGTATTATATTTAGCATGTATGATATTTGCCGGGAATTGGATTTTGAACAAGTTAGTGTGGATTTGATTTAGCGCATATCTTAAAGCAATATGAGCTGCATGTTTGAGAATTTTATTTTGCTGGTAAAATGTGTTATTATGATTAATCTTTATGTAATCTAAACCCTTATGATCAATAAAACCAAAATAAAGTTTAAAATTGTTTCAGAAGAAATATTTCTGTACAGCCAAATATACAGTACTATATAAGAAATCATTATTGTACAGGACGACAATAATTCAATTTTGCTTCTATCAAAGGGTATAGAGAGTTCTTTCATAGCAAATATGAACAACAGAAGTTTTTAAATGTTCTATTTTTCTGTCATTGAAATAGTTAATTACAAATTTGCAAGATTTTTTTCCAATGTCAAACATGCAGCTCATATTGCTTTAATGTTCTTCTTTATAGATATATGTGTGAGACATTTAGCACTGTACTTGAATTAGCGGATATTGCTTTCTGCCAAAAACGCTAAAAAGAATACACCGCCAAATGTAATACGTCCCGTACCAAACATTCTAACAAATGCTCATGAGCAGCTCATGAGACTCACATGAGAATCAAGTAAGAATTGCATGCAAATTAGGTAGAATTGGATTTTGCTCATGTGCAGATTGTTAGTCTTTGTTAGGGAGGAAAATACTAACCAAAATGCACATGTGCACCCTAACCCTAACCCTAACCCTGTCCCCCACTGTTACTTAAGGTGGGGCAGTATCCAATGAGGAGAGCCAGTTAGTACTATATAGTGTACAATTGACAGCCTCTGTGCGGTATTCTATGAATTACATGTCTTTAAGTTGCTAATTAAATATTGATGCATATGATTTTTCTATTGACTGGCTTTTCATGACCAACAGAACCTTGAAAACATACTAACTTATTATAACTTTAAATTTTTTGCAGATAAAAGTTGGAATCAAAGGATCTGCAGATTAATCATGGACCCTAGCTGATCTTGCAAACATGATGGAGTTCTGATGTTGGCACTCATTTAAAGGAAAAAAAAAAGGAAATGCAAGGAAAGGAATGGAACAGGATGAATATTTTTTAAACCCAAGTATGACTGCCACTCATAAATTCAGCAAAGACAGAAAAATCTACTTATAGCCTCCAAGACAACTTAAAACCATCTAGTACTGACTCACAGTGCAGTCAAAAATGTTGACTGATTCACATTTACATTGGGTGTTCTATGTTAATCTACTTGAAATGGAACTATTGGATAATAATACCTTGATTAATGTGTACTGTACATAATTATAATAATTTAATTTAAATTTTTGTTTCATTTTAAGGTCAGACGAGATGTTCCTCAAAATCTGTTTTGTTTATCTTCGTAATGTATGAAAAATATTCAAAATTTTAATAACATTCTGATTTCTAAACCAGTTTCTAACCGTTTTTAAAACATCCAAACACTCAAACATTTGAAATTGGAAAATTATTTTTCTTCCCCAAAGGATTATATGAGAAAAACTACCCCTGGTATCTTGCAGAAATGCCTGGTAAGGTACCTCAATTTTTTGTGAGTAAACATGTTTAAGTAGAAACACTTCAATGACAAACTCTCAGAAAAATTTATCTATTATTAAGGAACGTCTCGTCTGTCCTTAAGTTTAAAAGATGAAGTTCACTGAACATAATTATGCATGCATCTATTTACATGTACATGTTTCTCAAGAGTATTTAAAATGTAATTGATGAATCACATTTTAGAATTACATAATTATATAATGTTTGCAGTCTGAATTCTGTTCTATTGTTTCTTGTTCCAAGTGAGCAATTGTTGCACATGAGTCTCATGAGCCTCATGAGACTCATGTGAGCAATATTCTAGGTGAGCAAAATGATTCCTCATGTGAGCAAAAAATGCTTATGTGCAGAACCTCGCTCAAGTGAGCATTTCACCTAATTTGCATGTTAAATTGCACATGAGACTCACGTGAGCAACTCAGGTGAGGAAATCTGGTTAGTCCTCACGTGAGCTGCTCATGAGCAAATTGTGAGAATAGTTTGGTATGGGGTTTACAGTATTCTTAACAATGTGAAATTTATATAATGTTTATTTATAACAATGCAACAAAATATTAAAGACTGTCATTATAAAGTATGGAAATTTAAGGTAATACTATGAAGTTAATGCAGTAGTGTACTGTATACGGGGTTGTTTTTGCAATCAAATGCCTAGTACAAACAATTTTGTCCCATGGCAAAGTGGAAGGCAGTTATTAAGCAGTTTCTTAGCCTTAACAGTTTAAACATTTAAGCGGAGCAGTTACTTAACCTTCCCCAGATTGCTGATGGATGAACAAACCTTTTGCAATTTATAAGCAGTTTTCTTAGCCTTACCAGTTTCTTTGCAGTTCATAGGCAGTTTCTTAGCAGTTCATAGGCAGTTACTTAAACAGTTGATAGACAGTGACTTTAGCAGTTTTTGCTAACTGCTTGTGGACTTCCAGTATACTGCTTATATATTTCCCTTTTATCACATAAATATTAATGAGTCACGAAGAGGTTTTCTCGTATCAAACTTGTAATACATAGCAATAATAGATCAATTGTTACATTTTAATTTATTGTATTTTGTACAATTGATTAACTACACAATCAAGCAATCAGAGATTGCTATAATGAATTAAAAAAAAATTTAAACACTAGTACTGTTTTATGCATCTGTAATTTTACATGTATCTTATTAACACAAACAATCATGCAGTTATACTCACTGACTTTTTAGAAAACTTATATATCCCAGGGCATATGATGCTCAACAAGATTCAACACTGAAGGTAATTAAAATGTCAAAATAAAGTAACAGCAATAAATGTCCACTTCATCCTACATTAAGTCCTGATTATACAGCAGTCCTATTGCACTAAAGGCCAGTACATTGTTGGGTTTTTCTATCCTTATGTAAACCACAAAAGCATTTCAATTGGCACTCTTTTGGTAATCATAATAATTTATTGCTCAGCTAGGTTTATAGATCATCCATTGATCTCAGTTGTTAATTATTCTTGAAAGAGACACAAAAATTTGTGTATGCCAACTAGAATGTTGTCCCACTCCTCTTCTAAAAGTCTGTAAATGGAAAGGAATTAATCATGAAACAGATTGCAATTATTAATATATGCCCTTCAAACAAAAAATTAGAACAGAACATGTACCGGTATTCAATTTATCTCTTTATTAAAGGCCACATATATATTGTAGTAATTACTTACCAATTGTTAAATGACTACATCATTTCTTCATTAAATCTAAATGGAGCTTATGGCCAGCAGGCTCCCTCTTCATTGGTTTATATAGCCTTTGTCCAACAATACAAATTGGCACCCAGAATTCAATTTTGGTGGTCAGTTGTTGGCTTCCTGTTTTGTTATATTTGTTGGAACATTGAGCCCAACATTAAATTTCTCTTGAACCCAATCAAATTATACAAGGAAACTGCTTATATACTGCTTACAAAACTGTTTAGGAAATTGTCTTGTCCTCAAGCATATGCAGCTAAGATATAACTGCTAGGGAAACTGATTACTGCTTAAAAATGCTAAGGAAAACTGTTTACTCCCAAGGTCCTAGCAGTTACTAGGGAGCAGTAAAAATCAAACTGCATGAAACTGTTTGAAAACTGCTAAAAATTAGTAAAACTGCTAAAGAACTGTCTAGTAACTGCCTATATAGGCAGTTCACTTTTCCATGGGGTCCCATTTATAATTCACTCAGTAAGTACTATTTTAATGAGAGAAATGCCATTTATGCTTAATTTGCCCCCAATTTAAATTTGTCCAATTGCAACAAGGACAAACGGGGCAAAAATTTCCCTGTATACAGTACATGTATAATGTTCTCTTACAATACATTCCACGACCTGTGGATACAGGTGCTAAGGTAAGATAAATAAATGTATAATGTTCTCTTACATTCCACAACCTGTGGGTACAGATGAACATTGTTGACCCCCGTATCCACTGTTGGCCAGATTCTCCCATCAGGCTTCATTCCCAGATACAAGCCTCTTTGTGAAGCAGACTGCAAGCTGACATATCCCCCGGCTCGGCGTTTCTCCACAATAAAATGTGAGGCCTCATCTCGAATTCCCTTTAAATATACAACCAATCATCAGTCAAATACAGTTCTTATTAAGCTTTTTAAAGGAAATAATTCAGGTTGTGCTGTTTTTCCAAAAAGCAAACAATACAGTTTTGTCAAAATATAATAATTTCAGACAGCCATCTTATCTTGCTCTAATTTAAATTGTTAGTCAGTTAATTTTGTGGATGACTCAACAAAGAAAAGGATGTAAATTGGTATTTATTGAAAATGAAGACAGCACAGAACGAGCTAGGTCGTGTAGAACATGCAAAGATTTTTTTCTGTTATTCAACCATTTCAATGTCTTTTAATTCTCTTAAACTCAACTTTTCTTTTTTAAATTAAGTTTTTCTGAAATCAGTCACATTAAAGTAACTATATAAACTAACCTGACAATCAATTTTCCCGTCCTTCAGGCGAATGTACTTTCCAGGATGAGAAATGCTTTCAAACATCCTGACCCCGTTCTCTGTGACCTTGTGAACTCTGAACTGTGCCATTTTACTTGAGGGGGTACCTAGAGCTGTCATTGATAGATCAGAGTTGATGTTGATAGCCTGATATAAGGAGGTGGAGAGAATCACCACGCCTCTATGTCTGAACATACCCTACAACAGTCAAAATCACCATATAAAATTAACTCCATTCTTATATATAAGTTGTAGTTAGTAATTATGACATGCTATAAGATTAACAAACAAAAACTAAACAAAAATCATCTCAGTCTTTAATTTCTAATGAGAAATATTTCTTTAATTTGCTTTTGTACATAGGTAATATGGTTTTTATACATGAATATTTACGATTAGATTATATAAATAAGAGGCCTGCGAATTAACAGATAGTGGATTATTGTCAAACAATAAAAAAAACTTGACAACCTACCTTGCAGTAAACGTAGAACCTCCTGGTCTTTTCTTTGTCCAGTATTCCCCTGACGTCCTCTGGATGCCCATCTTCACCAAAAGTCAGAAACTGCAGGGGGTTCTTCACCGACTCAAACATAATGGACCGGTCACCCTGGACCCTCAGTCTGAACTCACAGTATGGACCACTCCCCTTCTACAAAGTCAATCAGTGTACATCTCAAAACTAGTAAATAATCCTAACCACTGCCCTTCTAAAATGTCAATCAGTTAATAATTAATACTCAAAACTGATAAATAATCCTAACTACTGCCCCTCTAAAATGTCAAACAGTTAATAATGTACTCAAAACTAGTTAACATAGGCATATATTTTTGTTTTCTTTCATCAAAACAAATACTATTGCTCAGATATGTTGGTTGAAAATTTTCAGAAGTGTTTCGATAAAGCTCAGTGTCTGATGATGGATAAAAACAGGTGGCTGTATGTCCCAGAGTGAATTAGGAACTTAGAGAAACAAGACTTTCAAAGATACGGACTAGATTCAGTGTTCAATGTTTACAGGAAGTAATTAAAGCATTGGTTTCTCACTTATCAAGCTTTTCACTTACATAAAACTATACATTATATATTATCTTCACTTATCACATCATTGTTACAGTAATTACAGTAGTGTTGACACATGTATTGATGTGACTTACATGCATGACCATTTTTCCGTTGTCAATGGAGATGAAGGAGTTGGGGTCAGGGACACTGTTAAACATTCTGACCATGACCTTCCGCTGAACCACGTTAAACACAGCTATTTATAGACAAGTAAAAATAAACACAGCTATATATAGATAAGACAAAAGTTATTGTCTCAAAGAAAACTATTCACAATTACTCATTGTATTTTTAGCTTCCCATGTTTAATATCAGATAAAAGTACCCACAATATCTTGCTTCTGATTAATATCTAATTTACATGACCCAGTCATATATATATATCATTTTACAAGTTATACTGCTTTAATAATTAATGACTGTGTAAATATTTTCCCACTTGATTCTGAGAATAGTTATACAGTCCTTAGTCTGTTGGTCCCTACCTATCTTGAAAACTAATGAATGATTTATGAAATGTTTACGTTAAATTGATAGAGATTCACTAGAGAATTCATAGATGTCATGACTTTAATTCCATCCTCTCTCCACAAACTGTAAATTAGCCCAGAGTATATAAACTGCCTACATTTGATTGAAAATACAGTAAATCATGCTTTATATGATGAAGGACCTGGGATGGATGATTTTGCATCATCATGAACGATGAATTAATTCATTATATCCATAGAGTTAACAATAAGTTTTAAAACCACAGGGACTGAAAAACACTTCAATGTAATTATCAAATCATTTTAAGTTTGTGTGCTATAATCGTGTTTCACTGTACTTATATTTTTGCTTACATTTTACTCATTAAACAAATGGTTATTGTCTCATTAAAAATTGAAATACCGATGTTAACAATAAAATTCCAGTTAACAATGTCTCATATGCATGTTGCGTGCAATCTGACACTCTAAAATAAAACATTGAAATTAACTTTATTGATCAACATTTACTTTCCAAGTTAAAATGTTGCAATTACACAAAATTTAACATTCCAGTCTGTTCCTAACATGGGGTTAGTAGTCTCTCACAATTTGTTTTGAAAAGGCCTAAAAAAAATTGCTGATTCGGCATTAAACAATATACAATCAATCAATCTTTTGAAAATGACTTTCAAAACTGAGTCACAAACATTATGTTTGAAACAGAAGGAGAATTGCTCATGCAGTATTAGAGACTATACACGGTGAGTGTATAAAGATAGGACACTGGTACAGCCAATCCTAAACATGTCAAATGCAGGACCCGTAATATCTAAGGTGTATTATGATCATAGCACTAGCCATACTGCTAGGCTAGTCTAATATATTGAATGCACCATTTACATCAATATTAGCTATCTTTATATATCAGCATTCAGTGGCTGCTTTGGTCCATTCTCTCTCAGTACAAAGTATTACGTCCCTATATACCCAGTATAGAGTTTATAAAGGATAGCTACCATGGAAATCCAGGTCGTTGCCGAGTGCGTCAATGGCCCCGCTCTGTTTGATCCTTACAGCTTTGCCCGAGGCCAGGGAGTAAAGTTTGACCTGACAGTCCTTCTCAAATTTCCATTTCTCATATTCCCACTGTGAAGAAAGGAGGCTCAATTAGTGACAACACAAAAACTCCAGAGGTGTTCAGAGTGTTTATTTCAGATCAGTGTTAGTGTTAGTCAGTACATAGGATCACTCAGGGTTTTACATTCACAAGACATTATGCTACAGGGAATTTACTGTTAAACATGAAATAATACTCAGTAGTGAGGAAATTTAATATGAATGATCCTTTAGTTATCGAATTGAATCATTTTTCTGTAGTCACTGTGATCCTTTAGTGAAAGAAATGTGTATTGCCTTTAAATAATCATAGTGATGTAATATTGAGACCTAGGGTAATTATGAATGTGAGGACTTTCTGATGTTACAAGAAAACTCAGTGACAAGTGAGTGCACTTGTGATTGAGTACACTCGGGCAAGGCTCACATAATCGGAGTCCAGTGGACTGCAATTCTGAATCTATCAAGACATCAGGAAAATTCAAGTCAATGTTAACTTAATATTCAAGTTCAAATTCAAGTCAATATTAACTAAACTTAATATTCAAGTTCAAATTCAAGTCAATTTTAACTGGGAAATCAAATTAGTTGGGAAAACTACCAAGACATTAAAATTCCATGGTCTTACTTTATCAGAATAAGGAAACATGGGATAAATTTTGTAGAATTGGCAATGCGTTATTACAACATACAGGACGAAGAAAAAGAAAACATTAAATAAAAGTTTTCACAGAGATTTCTACCACACAAAAACATAAAATGTCTATAAAATCTGGAATAAATAAATAGTTTACATATTCTCTTAACTCACAAAATTCCCAGAGTACAGGGCAATAATATTCATCTTTAATGTTCAGGTATAAATTAAAATTATCATTATGCATTTGTTTGAATGAGATCAGTCTGAGAGATAAATTACTTTTTCTATCAATGTAGCAAAGTCTGAAACAGTAAAATGCTAAACAAACTCAACAGTAAAAGGGAAACACAGAAAAATCTCAACAAAAATAGTGGAGCAGATATACACACAAGATACCATAAAAACCTTTGCTTCCTATACCAATGAGAATCTGTAGATTTTATATCAGTTTAAGAAAGCAGTAATAAAATATATATAAATATGATGTTATTTAAAACTTTTATTATTCATAAATTATGGGTTAAAAACAGGTACATTGATATACAGGTCAAAACCCAACCTTTACCCAGAGACAGCAATCATTTAATGAAGGCAGGAGGTTAGACAGGCAGAGGGTACAGAGAAGAAATCAGTTGTACAGGGAGGATTTACCTCAAAGGCACATTGTAATTTAATTTGTAATCAAAATAAATTTCAAGAATAGGTCATTTTTAAAAAAGTGTTTGCTTGTCCTTTAATCCTGACTCAGGGTAAAATATTTGGGTCGGTAGGTAGGTGGGAAATTTTTTTTTTCAGAAAATTTCAACATATTTGTTGATGGGATAAAAAGAATAAAAAGAAAAAAAAAACAGCTTGACCTGAAAGCTTGACAAAAAAAAGTTTTGAGTTGGCCATTTTTAGTCAGTCATTTAGGAGAAGGTAACCAAACAATTTTTTAAAGATGGCCCAAATAATTTTATCAAATTCTTCAAAGTCATTCAAATAAAATGCAATTAGGTAAGAAAGCAAAGGTCTGATAACAAAAACCCTGATACCGCTAAACAGCACACAAACAGTGAAGCACACAGAAGACATGCAGTACTTGGCACCCAGTGCTGGGGCTAGCATGCTATGCTGTGCTGGAACTAGCATGCTATCACGAGTCGGGGAAACTCACATTTCGCTTCTCTAGGATATCGTCCATATACTCCTCCTGAACCTTGAGCTCGCGAACGATCTTCCCATCATCCTGTCCCTCATCCAACCACCTTAAATAACGGAAAGTTTATGTCATGAGTCGGGGAACTTACATTTCTTATTTAACATCCTAATAAAGAAGATCTATACAATTAAATATTGATGTAAAAACTTTAAGATTATTTGTATATAGACAAAAAGTCAATTTAATGGAAGTGTTTGCATATGATACATTTATAAATTTACCCTTTATTAATTTTTTTAATTCTGTGACTAAAATGTCCTTACTTTCCACAGTGGAACACAGATTCGTCATGCATTTTGCTACCAGATGGCTCTTTCACCACAATTTTCTCCAGGTACCAACCATTTCCTGTCAAACAATAAAGTCATAAAATATCAGTATACAACACTATTTAAATCTCCTGGAAAAAAGAGCTCTCTATATAAATTTCACCGGACCACAGTTTTCTTCTTTACCTCCCCCTGTGCCATCATGTCCCACAATGATTCTCTTCAGATGACCCAAGGACACCGCCTCCACAGTGAACGTATCAGTCTATAACACAAACATAAGGAACTTTACATTTATACATGTAGCTACATATAAATTATTCATTTCTGTTACAATGTTACAATATTTGTCATCTGAGAACACACAAATTTACATCCACTTATTCATGAACATATGGTGGATAAAATGACTAAAAAATACATAACAAGTTGTTAAAAATACAGTTACATTTAAAAATTAATGAGTTTTTAAAAACATCATTCATTAAAATTATACATGTAGCCACATGCAATAATTCATTTCTGTTACATGTAACAATTTATGATAAAAGGAAGAAAGAATACTGGTACTGGTACTTACTTAAAGAATACTTATTTTCAAAATGAAAAAAATCTTGACATTAAACCAGCATTTTCTTCACCACTCCCCCCTTTATCTCCACTTTATTATATGCCCCTACAGTAAGTATGTTTTACCCTGCCCTGCTGGAAGCATCCTTTGGAGGGAGAATACAGCTGCCTGACCCCCGTATCACCGCGGTCACCATACATCGTCATGTAAACATTGGCCTCAGTGCTGGCTCCCCACAGGTTACCGGTCGTCACGTATACATTGTACCGCACCACTGAAAGTCAAACATCACCGTTTAATTAATGCTTTAACAATAAGATTATCAATTCTCCATCCAGGAGAAAAATATACATTCCCATATTTTATTCAATGCTGTTTGTTTTTCGTTGGTTACAATTATTATAACCTAGGATCACATGTCAATCTACCTGGTAAAATTGGTTCCCCTTTTCTGACAGCAGGAAGTTCTCGACAAATCTCGTAATCATCCTCGTCTCTTGCGAGCCAGCGTCTACAGGTGAAGGTCAAATCTTCATCCGTGTCCTTGTCCTTCATCTTAATCTGGACAGGAAACAAAAATTACGTCACTCACTTAAAAATTCAGTCTTCATACTCGTGATTCTAATGTGTGTAGAATGTTTATAATTACACTTTACCTCATCACAAAGCCAGCCAGGGGAATCCCCTGAGTTATCATGGGCAATCCGAATCTTGTAAATCTCACCCACATTTCCGACTGAAATCTACAACAGAATAAAGTCATCAGTAAAAAGTTCAAAGAAGTTCTAATGTGTTCTCTTGTGAGCATATATTCTTCTCTTTTCTGTCTGATTCTAATAGAGAGTATGTACTTTATGTCCACATGCTTACATCAAAGTCGTCGGTGCTCCCGGATTTGAAGTTGCTGCCGTCTCCGCTGCCGAGTGATATAGGACCAGAATTCCCCTTGTGTCCGTACACGGTGAGGGTGACCTGAGCTTGTGTGGAGGCCGACGGATGTCCATTTGTCTTCACTGTCACCTTCCATTCTCCCTCTTAAATAAATTCAGCAGAAATAATCAGTCGTATTCCTTACTCCTTCATTTTAGAAAATAATGTGGAATATGATAAAAAAAAAGCATGAATTCAAAGCATTGTTCAGAAAGACATAATTGCTCTACTGTATTTACAAAGCTGTATTAGGTCCTATACCCCTTAAGTGTTAAGTGACTGTGTCATGTCCTAAGTGCCTGTTACTTACTTGTATTGGTCAAGCGGTTTCTCTTCATTTTCATGCGATTGGCTACAGGGTCTGACCCTCTGGTGTTCAGGGAGACACGAGACATGATTCTGGGTGTGGCGTAGTACCCGCTTCCATCCATGTGTTTAAAAGGTTCTGCTCCACAGCATACAACTGTCTCTGGTCCCATAAACAGCTGATTCAACCCACCAATCTACAAATAATAACATCAAATAAACCCTTACTCTTGTTAATTGTTTATAGTCATTTTCAGTGTTAAACATCTTGATATTTTGGAAGTGTCAGATATTAAATAGCCAAATTATAAATCTAACCTACCCTTTTCCCCTCTGTGGTACATAACTTCCTCACAGCAAACTTAAACATTTCACTGAGATCATAGAGCACCTGTTCAAACTGCTGTGCAGTCCTTCGATTTAACAATAACACATGTCTATAAGTTGGATCCCCGTTTTTCAGCACCGTGATCTTTTTAGGTTGGTTTCTGTTGTACACCGTAGCCATGTCGTACGGCTTTTTGGATTTCTTAAAGCGAGGCTCCCTGAACTCCCCGTCCTCCCTCAGAATTTGATTCAGCAGCCTTCTGCCACTCGGGGGTCTGGCAAAGTGCCAAACTTCTTTTCCTCCCACCCGACTCATGTCCAGCCCCCTGATGTTCACACGACTGGAGGAGCAGATGTATTTACCCTCGTGTGTCAGGGCGTCTAGATTTGATATCCGTGTATGTCCTGTAGGGGTAGTGACAGACCGCACTCCAAAACCAAGTCCAGGAATTTTACGGGACAGTTCTAAACACAGGGTATCAAATTTCTTGTATTTGCGGGGATTTAGGGCGATTTTGACGCCTGGGAAACGATAATCCTCGTCTTTAAAGAAGTAGCAGGTTTTTGTATCATTGCCAGCTGTCTGTGAGCTGCGTAGATTGGGTGACACAGTGTCTTTACGAGTTCCCATTTCCACCACACTCTTACTGTCGTTTCCTACGTGTTTCGGTTTCTTCCTCTCCGTGGGAGGTTTAACATCCTTGGCCTCGGCTTTTTGGGCTCGTTTCGGGTTCCGGTCCTTGGCCCCATCTCCATCATCCCCTGCTGCTGACACAAACTTTCCATCTTTTTTCTTGGTATCTTTTGTTTTCTTATCCATTGTCTGAATAAAATCAATTTAAACATGGTTACCATTTCTCTTCCCACATAAAGTAAATATAATGCAGCCTGCACCTCCATTTAGAGCAAATAAATAAAATGAATAAAATGAAGTTATCAGGAGCTGGGGATCAATATATTTACTATCAGGAGCTGGGGATCAATATATTTATTCTATGAACCAAAACTGAAAAACATTAATGAACAACCATCTATAAACATTGATAAATAATCTGTAGATGAAAGTCAATTCCAGGTCAGAGCTACCAAAGAGGCAACTTAACAATTGTCAGCTTTTCGTCTACTAGATGTCATTTACATAGTATCATAATAATGGAAATGCAGCCTGGTAATTAATTATACATAGGTGTGATATAATTTACTGTTAATCAATCCTTAATGATATATCATTTACACCCGGCCATCCTTAAAAAATTGTTTTTTTGTGGTAACGCGACCGACTCACCAAAATCCACCCTACTGGATTTTTTTTATGGGTTCAAAATTTTTTTTTTTTTTACATATCCATTTTCTAATTTTATCCTATTAACATTTTTTAAGTCCCCATTGCACCTGTAGACGCCATTTTTAAAAAAAGAACTGATGTCTTCTGATATTTGAACAATAAAAGATTTGATGCATTAAGAATGCCTTAATTTTCTTATTTGATTAGTAACTTAAAGTGAAATCTAAGACATAGTTAATACCTCTATACAGTAAAACACGGTTATAGCGAAGTTCTGGGGACCTGTGAATTTAATTTGCTATGTCCGTAATTCGTTATATCCGTATAAAGGATTTGTATAACCAGATATTGCTAATTCGCAATATGCATTTTCTCCTTCAAGTGTTACTACAAAATATGTTAGGGAAGCAAATATTACAAAACATACCTTCGATACCTAAAGTTTTATTATGAATTGAATTTTATATATAAATGCTGAGAGAAAAATAAAGTCAGTTCAATTATTCAAATTTTGAAATCTTTGAAAGTTCGTTATAAAAGATGTAAAATTCATTAAATTCAACCTCAAAGGGACACAAAATCAGTTCGCTATATCCGTAAATTCTTTATATCAGAGTTCGTTATAACCGTAAAATTTTACAAAGATTTGTTAAGAATTTTGCCGGGGACCCAGAAAAACTTCGTTATATCCGTGAATTCGCTATATCCGTGTTCGTACTAAACGTGTTTTACTGTATAATCAAAATTTAATTCTGACTTTTTGTCTCAAAAAAAAAAATAAGCCTACCTACCTACCCACACCTAAAATGATGAGGCGCGTTACTGCAAAAAAAAATATTTTTAAGGATGGCCCCCTCTATCATCCCTATTTAGATCAGATGAGAGTCAATCTTGAGTCATCGTTTGATGACAGCTACCCAGGGGTATTAGTTATTCTGTGTGGGGATGGGGGGGGGGTAGAAATAAGACAGAAGTCCAGTCTATAATCAGCTGCTGATAAATATTAACCTTAAAAAGTTAATTATCAAATCACCCATCATCATAAAAGTTACTGTCTATATGCATGCTTCTAGCCTTTCAAATTCAATGCCAACTGTTAATCCTGAAAAACTTTAAATAAAATATTCATAATGAACACTGTGACAATTAAACATATCAACATATTAAAATATTCAACATTTGTTCAACATGCAAAAATATAAAAATAGCAAAATCATATTAATTCACAAAATTGGCTTATTCAGGCACTGAAAGTTTCCAACTAAGGAATAAATATCAAATTAACCACCAGGTTAACCCCTCACTTTCAATTTGCTTCCGGCGCTTATAAACGTTAAATTCTGTCTAACCTCACTTAGGATTACAAGATCCCTGTCCATTTTTACAGACTGATAAGAATATAATCATTAAACCATGCATCAATATTTCAAGCATTTACTTAACTGAACTTTTCCATAAGGTCTGAAGATATATATTTTTGCAACTTTCAGCCTAAATTATGTCAAAGGCTATTAAACATATAATCTTATTTATATGACATTTACAGCGCATTTGTGTCAAATTTCAATATATTTAGGATATAAAATTATGTGGTCTAAATAGCGGCAAAAGTTTATCATGAACTGTCAATAAACTAGTGGATGCATTGCACCGAAGATGAAAGAAGCACCTGACAATCATCTTTTGCATCAGATATTGTAAACTGTACAGTGTCATACATACAATATCACCACATATATCCCAGTTATTTTAAGCCTTCTGTAAGAAAATGCGTATAAATACAAACTTACAACTCTTTAATTCAATCTATACTCCATAATCCATGTTTAAGAGACGTCAACTCAAAATGTGTATACACTGGCATGCTCGCAAAAACCTCGTTTCCAATCACGTGACTTTTCAAAACAAACACCTGTAAATGCCTTTTTATCAGATTAACTCTCACTTTTACAATTTTACAAGATTCCTGATACGAAAAATGCATTTATGTAAATAACTCATCGATTATTTTCCACGCAAAATAGCACACTGCAACATTTTTATCTGTTTTGGAAAACGAGAAGTTCGCGATATTTCGAAAAGTGGCTTGGTAGCAACAACATGGCTGTCACACTATCGGAATCAATCGTCAAAAATATTTCAGCCTTGTCCGTAAGTTTTAGGAGTCATATAACTCTTTCAAAGATAGTTTTAGAAACAATATAAAACTTGTTACAATATATCTATTTCTAGGAGATTCAATGTATGTTTTATGAAGACAAGCTCTAAATGAATCAATGTAAGGGCAATTCGAATTTCCTCTATATAAATAACATTGAGCATAAGTAGCGAATCGATGATTTTACCAAAAAAGTAGGCGACTTAATTGTCATTATCACATATATGTAGCGGTTGGATACTTGCATATTAAGATTAGGTCTACACTTTGTATCGTCTGAAGTATCGAATTCAATGTAAAGTTTTCATTGAAGAATTTCTTTTATTAAATCCTGAGTTCTCTAAATTTTTAAATATAAGATTTACATCATAAGAAAAAAGAAGGTTGTGTCAAAGTTAAAAAAGGGACTATGAATTTATAAAGTTAATTTTCTGGAGCTATAATTTCTATAATTTGGATAGAATAAGATTAACATCATCTGGCCATGTTTTAAAAAAAATGATGGTTTCCCCCTCCCCACCGACTGAATAAAAATGACCCGAATCAAATCTTTTTTAATACATTATGGAACACAATATATATAATTTTTTACTTTTTATTCATCTCATCCCTTGAACAAATATGTTGAAATTTTCAGAAAAAAGGTTTTTCCCACTTACCAGCCAACCCAATAATATAATCCTGAGTCAATTTATAATTTTACTTACATCAACTATCCATTTTATGTTATTGATTTCCCCTTACCATGTTTACAGAAAGATGAGGGGAAGGAGTTTCTAGCCAAACAGCTGGGGTTAAAATGTCTACAGGACGACGAGAACCTGAGAAATGCTATTTACACAGACTTTTTGTATGACAACTTAATGTATGCTGTAGAGAAAGGATTTACCTGGAAACAAGTCTGCACGGTGGTGACATTTTGTGATGGAATACTCAAAGATTCAGAAGGTATCCTATTTCTACCCATCTACCATGAAGCTTGACCTTGTATGAAATTATTGATACCTGTCGGTCAAAAGCTCTACTAACAGAGTACTGTGTTATTCTGAATCAGAATATTTGAACCCATTTTATTCTTGCTCTGTTAACACTTGCTATTTTTCCACTTTGAATTCAAATTTTCCCAAATACAACTGTGTTAATATGGTTAAAGAGATTAAAATGATTTTTAAAAAAATCACCCATTTGCAACATTAAGAAAGGAGCAAGAACAAAATGGTAAAAAAAAATTCAACTGTATACAGTACTTTTACAAGTCTGCACAGTGGTGACATTATGTGATGGAATTCTTACTTTTCTTATAAATGTATGTGAATTGACTTTCTGTTACATTCCTGACTTTCTTTACAGGGAAGGATTTGACCGAGTCTCTGCAGTTCCTCAAACTTCAGTCCTTTGAGCTGGCGGACATACTCGGGGAGAGGAACTTCCCCATCTATACAGACTACGTATTTCTGACTTTTTTAAGACATTTCAAACTTTTCAAATATGTGTTTTCAAAAGACCGAGATATTCTAAAGCCCAATGTTGCCCTGACAATAGAGACCCCTGAGGACCCCGGTGATATGAAGACCAGTAAGCCGGAGGCAGTGTGGGAGTATGAGAGACAATACGAAGATATCCAGAGGATTGAGGCGGAACAGGCCAATAAACGACTGGAGGAGCAAGCCAAAACATTAGAGGCCGCGGAAAAACAGACTAAGGAAAGGATCGACAAAGTCAGTCATGTACAGACCCCACTCACTAAAGAGGTTAGTAGGTCATAGTACAACACTATAGCTACAAATGATTGACAGTCATGTATAGACCCCACTCACTAAGGAGGTTATTAGGTCATAGTATCATACTATAGCTTCAAACCAAAGGAAATACATGTGGCTATGAGTTCATTAGAATACTACTCACTCATTCATTGGAAATGGCATCATACAGTTTATCAGGTTTAATAATATATATCTATCGATTGCAGTATTTTAGCCAGAGTAGAAGGAGGCCAAATTAGTTCCTTCATCTCAATTGTTCTTCTTGCATATAAGCACATATTCACTGCATGCAGTAAAAATAAAACATCTACCGGGGTAACTCTATTAAGGAATTTTTTTCAAATTGTCCAATTCTAGGATTCTGGTTAATAAAAACATAATAACTATAGTTTTACCTTTCAGAAAGTTAGCGAATTAATTGGAGAGGTCATCAGCTCCTACAGCTCACTGCTCGTAGAGAAGGTCAAATGTAACATCAAGGACATACAGGAGGACCTGGAATTTAAACTCGAGAGAACCAGTTTACCCCGCCCTCAGGCACTCGGTAATATTGTACAGTGTTTACAAACGATTTGCAAATGAATTATTAGATATAATCAGAAAGTATCTTCATTGAACAATAAATAATTTTTACTTACATGTTCTATGTTATCACAGTCCACGTATCTGACCAGCTAACTTCTCCTTGCAGGGCCCCCACCACGATTTAACCTGAAACCAAAGACCCCCGTACCTACCCCTAAAAAGACTCCTCCAAAAAGTCCGAAAAACGGACGCAAAAAGTCGGGAAATTCACGGCCAAGAAGTCGAAACAAGTGATCGATTTATGTGAAAAACTCAGTGATAAAACTGTACATTAATGTCCGTAGCTGGGCATTCTTCCTGTGAATTATAATTTCCTCACATGGTTACATACATTGTTTTCTCTATTAATAAATATTGTTTTCATTACAATGTCTTCAGTCACTGACGGATAGAAAACAGTCTGTGATCCAATGCTCACTAGTTAAAACCCCCGCTATGTTGTGAATTTTTCCATCTCTTGTGAATATACACAAGTTCAGTTATGAACAGAAACAGGAATAAACAAGAGGATGACATCAGATTTGTACAAATATGGATCTCACCATATGGCATGCCTCAACAGAGAGTGCTAAAATTTCAAGCATTTGCAATGAGTTGTTGTTGAGAAAACTGCGACAAAATTTGTTACGGACAGATAAGGGTAAATCAGTATATGCCCCTCTCCTTCAGAATAGGGTATAGTGATTTGGATTTCTATAATCAGGTTAATTTTCTCAAAGCTGAAGGCAATAATTCAGATCAAGGGGGACTACTCTCCCAAGCTCAGAGTGTTATATGGTTTTATTAGACTGGTGAATAATAAATGTAGATCTAAATTCCATTCCCGACAAAACTGCTGATTTACTGTAGATCAATACGACATGTTAACAATCTGTAGCCAAAGTAAAGGCTGTATTCTCTATGTTTGGTCCACACCCAAATGCTTTATAAAAATTGTAGAGACTACTTACATTCACTGTTAAGTCAGATGTACAACTACTCTGACTTAAACTTAAATGCCTTCAAGCAAAGGAAAGACTCTAAAAGCTTTCCAGTAATTACATTATAACAAGATGTGTTTGTGAAACACTGGTGCCCCCATATGACAGCCTATGAAGAAAAGTTCAAGTTTCTTAAATACCAGTTACATGTACAAGTAACTCCAAAGCCTATGTCAAGTTTCAAAAATTTGTTTTTCAAGAAAGAACTTACATCAATGAATACACATGTAAAATATGAAAGCCCAAGAACTAACCACTCAGAAGTTATTGCTACATGGCTACATGTACTTGGTTGAAGTTTCAGATTCAAACACCAGTCAAGGTCAAAATCACCGTTACAAAGGAACAGGATTTGTCACAAGAAATACAGATCTACATGGGAAATATAAAAGCCCTATCACCAACTGTTCAGATATTATAGGTAAGGATAAAGTTTTATCAAATAGTCAGATCAAACTTCAAGGTATTAAAAGGTGAAAATTTTTGATATCCAAAGAAATCTTTTGTCCCAAGGAATAAACCTGTAAAATATAAAATCACTGGTACTAACAGTTCAAGCCAAGGTTAAAGTTTTTAAAAAGTATGTCAAACTCTAAGGTCAAAAGGTCACAAAAAATTAGGCCCCAGAAAAGGTTTTGTCACAATGAATATGTGTGAAGCATGAAAACCCTAACACTAACTGTATAAAAGTTATGACAAGGGTTAAAACTTAATAAATTTATGCAAAAGTGGGTCAAACTTTAAGGTCAAGAGTTCAAATATATTCATACCCTAAAGAAAGGTTTCGTCACAAAGAATACAGTCATGTGAAATATTAAAGCCCAACCAATCGAAAGTTAAGGATAAGATTAAAGTTTTTGTGGACAAACAGTCTAACAGACTGATGGACAGGGCAAAAACTATATATCCCAGAATCTTTGATTACGTGGGCAAAAAAAGCCAAAGCATAGGGCTGGTAACTCTTGTTTAGTACAAAACAGTTAAAACATCATCAAAATTATGAGCGCTCTGTAAAGCTAACACGAACAAGATTTGTTTTCCAAGATTTATTCTGTAAGGTCCACATAATTCACAGCTGGTCTCGCCACTGACAATTGTCTATTTCAGGTCACTAAAATCAGATCTGGGTTAATACTCGAACCGGAAGTCAAAGTAACTCGGATCAAAGTAGTGTACTCTCACGTAACCGTCCTCTCCCCCACTGCTGTAGCTGTAAAACAAAAACAATATTTAAAACAAACCCTCTTTTGAAAGTTCTTGTTTACTTGGCATAATGTACAAACATGCATATCAAACTGTACCTACTTTTTATCAGTCACTTAAATGAACATCAAAGCAAAGAAAACTCACTAAAGAGTTTGCCTCTCACAATAAGAGCAATGTAAACATGATACAAATTACAAATAGACACTAAAGTCGTCCTATTTACTGATGTGTTATGTCTTTACCTTTTACCGTCAGGATGAAATGCTGTACTGTTGATGGGACCAAAATGACC